AAACTCGGTGTCGATGTGGGATCCGTCACAAGATGCTACATGCTACGAAGGAAGCTCAACCAACGTCTTGCAATCACATACGCATCACGTTTCTGCTCATACATACCCTCTGACAATGCAAGACGCTACAAGCCGGGGCATCCGTCTCACAGGTGCGATATTACAGAGCGAAGCCATTCACGGGACAAGGCTTTTCAAGTTCTCAACTCGTGCTCTATTAACCGGGCGGGGATGTGGAGGTTATCTGGCACTCGCTTGTTGTCCGTTCACACATCATGCCGGATCGTCTTGGCGCAGAACAGACACGAAGTGTCGAGAAGTTGCAATACGACCCTGACAACGAAACTTGGGCAAGACCAAAGCTTTCCGTGCTTTTGTCTTCCTGTCCACTAGACCTATCGCTTGTTGAACAGGTCCGCGGGTGACGAGCTAGCCTTTGCCGTTCTACGCATCATGCTTAATAACTAAACCACGGCCGATGCAAGGAAGCTAATAAAAGCACGGAGCATGGAGTATTGACTCACTGACTACGTAGTCTGTTCCTGTGTGGAGTGCCGCGAAGCGGAACGCGTCGCGGAACCCTACATCTCGATTTAGCCTGATTGTGGCCCTCACCATGTGTAAAGATGAATTTGGATCTAGAGCACAAGAGTTTGATGTTTTCGCCGTAAAGCCGGCCCGTTAGCTCATCATCAGCCAAAGGCCCGTTGTCAGTGCAACCGAGCCAAACCACGGAGGACTCTCGGAGGCATGCTTATATCCCGCTTCCCAAGCACGCATTTCGTGACAAAAGACTTGGCATGGTTTGTCATGGGAACCAAATCAAAAAGAAGAAGAGGATGGGTCGAGCGAGGAAGTCCAACGAATCGTCGGACGGGGCCAAACCTACTTCAAGTAGATACTCGGTACTCCGTACGCAGCCACCGAAACAACACTCCCCCGACTGAAGAGGAAGGGGACAACAAGGTCGGGTGTCAAAAGGGCACATGCAAAGACCGTGCAGCCATTGATACCGAGCACAGCAGACATTGCAGAAATATGACACGCCATGATGCCAAGATGTGACTGACTACCTACTCCGTACTCCGTACGCCGTATGGTCTACTACTTCTGTTGTGTGCCGTGACTCTGTGGGACGATGGCGAGCACATACGTCTTGGGGTACTGCAGGCCTTTGCTTGTTCGCATGGTGTCATATTGCCCTCCACTTGAGCGGCCAGAGCAGGAGAGAAAAGCCCTCGAGTTGCTGGTTTCGAGACAGCAGAGGCGGTCCAATTGCCGAGGATCCGCGCTGTAAGATGCTCGTGGATATCCGCAATCCATCTCTATCTTTGACTGGTCCATGGCGAAACAGCAAGCCTATCGAAGAGAAGGAGCATCTTGAAACAAAAAGCTTGCCACGGCCCATGGGTGAGGCACCCTCCTCCCCCTCCTCCGCGTGTCGCTGGATCTGGCAGATGAACTGAACCGGTCGTCTCTCGGCATTTCATACTTCCGTACTCGGTACTCCAGAACCCAACGGTCAATGTTTCGTCATTGGTGGTAGCCTGGTACTTAGAGGTAGCCATGGGGCGGGCTGCCTTCCCCCCGGGGAGCCTGGCATGTTCACCACTTGACCGATCCACGATCCACGGGTGTTGTCGAGGGAAAATGGCGCTGCTGGTGTCTCCATGCTGGGCCATGGCCGCCAGTAATCCTTTCTGCTGGCCCCAAGCCACGCAGAACGCACGGAGACGAATAGCCACCCTGCGGCGAAAACTTACTTAGGTGCGTCCCACTTCCAGTCCTGAGGTGAGGCTGGCGAAGGCACAGATGCTTGTGCTTTTCCATGAAAATGAGCGCAGTTCGGGCGACTTCCACCGGTGGCGGCTTTGACCAGGGGATCCCGTCGGTCAGGACGACAAAGGTCAGCCAGCCAGTATCTTCCGTAATAGCCTGGTAACTCGTACTCCATACTCCGCACAGGTACGGACTCCGTGAGCCCGTGGTCCTGGGACTGCAGAGCAGAGCAGAACTGGGAGCAGCACTGGGACAGGGCGGAGCTGAGGGGACATCTGCTGGAGACAGTCAGAGCCACGGCCAGTGGATCTGACACCCATCATCAGTTGGGTACTCCGTACGGGACGTAGGGAGTAGCACGCACTTGTCATGGGAGTTTCATGGGCCAGGGCCAGGGTGGACAGCTACCGAGCTTCCGTCGGCTTGGTTTCTTCCCCAGACGCGCCAAACCATAACGCTGGACTGGGCGGTGCTGGTGCTGCCTTTGATACGAGGCGAAGGAACCAACCACCTGAGCAGGGTTGGAGCGATGCGAGAGGGTAGCTTTCTTTGCGCAGGGAGACGCGCGAGCGCCGAGGTATCGCAGTACTCGGTGGTAGGACCAGTCTGACGTCTCACGGCCAAGGCGCTCCCTCCCGCTCTGGCCTCCTCGTTGAAGCTGTATGGACATGGGACAGGACGCATCGTCGACTCGAAACGCAGAGGACGACGGAGAAACCGATCAAGTGTCGAAGTAATGTCTGCGTGGTCGACTTGCGTGGATGGGCCGCAGAAGGAATCAACGAGCACCAATGTCACGCGCGGCGCCGAGCGCAAACGCATGTACCGACTGCTCGGTATCTCGGCCAGAAACGATGCTGACGACTTGAATGCACGCATGTCTACCATGTTGGATCTCGGCGCGCTACTACACCACGTTTATTCCATGGTGCCCGTCTCGTTGCTTCACGAGTTAGGCAAAGGCCCGCCGCATGGACAAAGAGCAACAGCTGGCTGTTTATATTTTTACAAGCTCTGGTGTCTTCTTTTCTTTCAAGAGGCGAGCGGTGTCTCTTTGTGTGGTGTTGGCCAGCCACCAATGTCCCCTCGTCCTCCCTAAGCGCCGAGTTCCAACGCGGTGAAGCAAGTAGAAAGGATCAATCAATCACGAGGCGCAGCAGGCCGTATTTTTATTTTTATTCTTGTCTCACCCGTATTATTTTTGTCTTCTTGGTCAAGCACTGGCACACCGCACACCGAGACATCGAGCGACTGCTGGCACCACAGGCCACATACAGCAAGCCAGCAGTGACGGTGACGCCGGGGCCAAGAGTCATCTGGTCTTTCCGTCCACGTCAAACAAGCAAGCAGCATCGGCGTCAATTCTCACGTGTCTGTCCGGATCAGCTTCACCACATCCGAAGGCCACAACCACAACGGCGCCTGGGTGCTCAACCCAATCGAGCGAGGCACTTACCCGCTGGCTGCTTGGGTTGACGCAGACACACTGATGCGTACCAAGTACCTAGGTAGTTACTCCGTACTCAAGTAGGTACGGAGTACTTGAGGCGACCGGCCGGTTGGCCTCTCCATTGGGCAGACGCACACACGCACACGCACGCACGAGAAGCCAGACGCAAACGCAGCGACAGAAGACGGACGCGTTGTGTTGTGGATGGTTCAACCTTTGCCCGGACTGGGTGCGTCGAATGTGGCCCTACTAGATTTATCCAGCACCCTGCTCCGTAGCGCAGAGCAACAGGCCAAGGCCAGGTCGGGCGCATCCCAGCATTAACGTGTGTTGTTGGAAGGCATCGCACTGCCCATTGCACCACAGTGACGACACACACAGCTTGCCAGTTTTTGGGCATCTGGATCACCTTGCCTTGCCGCCCACTGCAACCACAAACTGGGCCCGGCCCTCTCGACTCCGACGTTGAAGGCAGGCAGGCAAGCAAGCAAAGCAAAGCAAAGCAAAGCAAGCAGAGCAAGCAGAGCAAGCAAACACAGACACAACCCGCACAAGTCTCACCAGAGCCCACAGACACCAGTGACGGCGGCCGCGCACCTGGGCACCTGCACCTGGGCTCTGCTTTGAGCACCACACGCTCGTCGTCCAACCGGCATCACGCCAACACGTGGAGCAAACCACCCCCGGTCTGCTGCACCGCGTTGGGCGTTTTGCTCGTCCCGCCTCGCCTTGGATTGACACCGAGCCGGATTACGACCCATGGCCAGTCGACAACACCGTTGATGCTTTATAAACCGCCTGCGTCCGCACCTTGGAAATCGGAGCCTCTGAGAACTCTATTCCGTCGTCCTCGTTGTTTTGCGCCATCGCCCTCCGCGTTGACCCCCCGTCGCCCATCACCCATCGCCCTCCGTCAACGCCCGTCACCGCCTTCACCGCCCTGCTTACCTTCTCTCCATCCCGGCCGCTCCTTCTTTTGTCCTGCCATTGCCATTGTGGGCAGGCAGACAGACAAAGACATCAAATCCCAATTCTTCACACTTACATGCCGTCGTTCCAAGACGCGCCTTTTGGCTTGGTTTCGTCTTGGGCCGCGGCCGTCAAAGAGAATCCCACTTTATTTATTTATTATTATTATTATTAGTAGTAGTAGTAGTATTATCCCCCCCACTTCCTGCTCTCGTTTACTCCATAGAAGAAGCTCGACCCAGTCGCGTCACGACTAGCAAGCACCTAGGTACTCGAGTACTTAAGCAAGTACTTAAGTAGGCCAAGGGATTGTTTGCAAGGACCCCAGGGCTGCTACCCGCCAACCCGCCCACCACACCATCGGCCCCCGCCCCGAGGAACTGAATCCGGCTCGGCCAGTCAACTGTCTTCGAGTGGGAAGCCTTTTTTTGGCAGGAAAGGCGTCGAACAAAGACCCCACTGGCGCCTGCCCACCCTTCTCTGCTCTACCCTCTCCAAGGCTCTCTTGAATCGATTCCTACGTCGGAAGCGCACAGGCAACAAAACCAGCCCGATACTTCTGCCCGGCAACTTGTGGGCTCCCCGAGTTCAAAAGGGTTCCAGGGTTCCAAGGGTCCCGAGCGTGTTACCGGCCGTACCCTCCAGAGGCTTTGCTCACCTGCCCTCCCAGACTTGTTTCGCTCTCTCCTTCACAACTCCATACCTCACGACTCATCGACACCGCGACGATACTCGATACCTGCCCAGCTCGAAAAGACCGCCAGGCACCGCTGTGTTCTCACAGCCCCGACGCTGTGCAGGCATGACGCCTAGACTGAAGCCTCTGCTCCTGCCGCAGCTGGTTGAGCAGCGACTTGGAGGCCGGACCGAGAAGCAACAAGTGAACGAGCATGGTAATGGATCGTCCACCATGGCAGCTCCTGACCAAGGCGACTTGTCATTCGTCTACTACACGACCAATTCCTCAGCGTCCGACATAACGTCCCCTGTAACACCCATCTTCTCGCCCAAGGGCCACAACAGATTTTCGAGCTCCACCTCATCGCTGGAACTGCCCATGCAGATGCCGCAGGAATGTCCAGCCTCACCATCACAGACCTCGAGTGCCATGTCCACCTTGCGACAGCTGCCTGATGTGGAGGAGGAACCGCTGGATCGCGGGGAGGATACAGCTACTCTTTCCGATCAGTTTGGCTTGTACAGCTGCTTGTGTATGTGCTGCACTGCGAGATGGTGCCGAGTTGGGCCACCTGAACATGAAATAGGAGAATCTACATGCTGACCGTTGTATCCTGCAGGCGACCAAGCTTGCTCCCACCGCAACAGCTCAGAGTCAAAATTCCAGGGTGATTTCGTCTCGGAATTTGATATCGACTATGACATGGGCTTCCTGAGCGACACCGACTTCACCACTGACCCTCGCTACCCTCGAAAAAAGCGCAGCACTACCGAAGCTGCTCTGTCCGAGTTCACATCCCGGCTGGGCTCTCGAATGCCCTCTCTCAAGCGATGGCGGTCAACCAAGCGTGCAGCTCTCAGAGCGTCGCCTACCACAGGCTTAAGCTTGGAGAATGTCTTGGCTCGCGGGTCGATTAGCAGCCGTTCATCGTCAATGTCGGCGCCAACACACCATCTACCCGAACGTGCCCTGGAGTCGATGCCACCGGTCCCGTCCAACCCGACCATGACATTCTACAGCCACGGCGACGACGTAGAAACTGGACTTGGGCTAGACATTTCTCCCGAGGACCACTCCAACTTGGCACGCGATCGCTCCATGGCCACTACTCCCCTCCTCCCCCCCCTGCTCACCAGCACGCTCGCCGGGCCTCCACGAGAGTCGCCGCTGCAGTCACCCAAGGTTGAAACGAGCCCAACTCCAGATGCTCCGTTGTCGCCCGCGTTTGGTGCACCAGCGCAGTTCTCTCGGCCAGCACTGAGCAGTCGTCCATCCATGTCCTCCCTGCGAAATGTCTCCAGCAGCACGGAGCTGCCACTCCCGCTTCCGTCGATTCTGCAGGAACATGATGAGTGGTCGGACCGACTTGGACACGCCAATTTCACCATCTCACCACAGCCGTACGAGTTGGAAACCATCAACCAAGAGACCATTGCCAAATTCCGCAATGATTGGGATCTGGCGCGCACAAATTACACCAAGCACCTGGTCAGAACTGGTGAAAACTATGGACAGACGAGCAAGATCTACGCTCTGACTGAGGCAAAATGGGCTGAAGTAGAGCGACGTTGGCAGACAACCTTTGGAGACATTGTGAAGAACACCAATCGAGCTACCGCCGCATCGGCTGGTGCATCTCGAAACCACAGCCGAGGACGAGGGCGCGGCCGCTCTAGCAGTTCCAATGCCGCAGCGCTCGCGCGACTTCCAGCCCAAGACGATCTTGTTGCCGAACTCGAGTGGAGACGTCTGGAAGACTGCCTCCCCAGCGCTGTTCCGCAAATGCTGGAGTCGCTTGACGCAGACGGCAAGTTCCCCGGTCGGGGTGACGAAGACATTGTTGGACCTATGCAACGGGATGCGGTGATGGTACGAGCAAGAAGCGAGGATGCAAAGGGTCGATTCTGGAAGACTCTAGCGGATCGAGTAGGTCTGCGCAAATAATATGCCTCGTGGCTGCTTTCGCCGTCGGGTCGCGTCGTCACAGGCCACGGGCATGTGCGTTGATGCCATGGCAAGTCTGTACGAAGTGCGAAATTGCAACCAAGCGAATGTTTTTGCATCTTTTATGGCAGCCCGCTTTGATTTCAGTTGTTCCACAAAGCGACATCAAGAGATACCCCGACTGCAGTCATTCCTTATTTTTCCTTTGCCTTTTTTTTTTTTTTTTACTTTTTCTTTCTCCGATATCGTACGACAACAACAGCTTGAGCGACCTCAGTGGCGCCAGAAGAAATTGACCAGATGGAAAAGCCAACGGCCGTGTTCTTTTCTTCATACTTGTGTGTGTGGGGGGGGTTGACCATGTATACGGAAAAGGCGTTGAACATAAAAGGAGCGTGCCACAAGGGAACCGAAAAGTTTTAGACTCGGCGTGACGGACTGGATGTAATGTGGGAGCATTTTTTTTTAAAAAAGAAATATCAAATCAACATGGGACGGGGCAGGATGATGATGTGGCAGCGGGAAAAAATTAAAAAATTAAAAAAAATAAGGAACAGCCTGAAGGCTGGGCATGGGGGTTCAGCTCGCGGATTACGACAGCTGTTGAGTTGACGGCAACAAAAGATTTCAACGGAATGGTACATTTCGTGCTTTGCTTTGCCATCTATATTGACGTCGGTGGGTTGTGCTGAAGCTGCTTGCGGAACATGGCTGGTATTGGCGGTACCTCGTCGCAAGGGTTGTTGGGTCGATGCCACGTCACCTTGATCTACGCGACAACATGGCGCAGGGTCTAGACTACTATAACTTATTTATTGGATGCTTTTGGCAATATGACGGCATCCATGTTCCAGTGTGACATGTCACAACATCGAGCACGACTTGGCTACGGGCCACGGTGAAGAATGAAAATTAGTTACTTGGCTCCGGCGAAGGGTCGGTCGGTCGGTCTGTCGGTCGGTCTGTCGGTCTGTCGGGCCACGAGCTGACCACATGTGTGCATCGCACCGCACCGCATCGCACCGCACCGCATCGGCTTCCTCCCGACGACTCCCGCCGACTCCCGCCCCGCCGCGCCCTTGCCTGGCCTCCTCGCAGATTTGGGGAAATAAAAGCTCCTCACTCGGGGCTGGGCATGGCGCAGAGCCGCGGGCCACGTGGCAGGGGACACGAGATGGAAAGGGCGCAACACCCAGGGCACGTCAACACCGCGCGGCACGTCTCATGTGAGGGAGGGAGGAGGAGGAGAGCAGGGACAGAGCAAGAGGCAAGAGGCAAGAGGCATGCATACGGGTGCCGGTCAGTCTACGGGTACTCCGTGCTCCGTACGCCGTGCGACGCGCAGGCAAGGACACGGGAGACAAGAAGGACACGGGGAGACGCGGCTGACACTGTCTGCCGTCTTGGCCCATGCCGAGGGTGCGTGCGTGCGCGCGCGCGCCTGGAGGGCGGGGAGGAAGCACGTTCTTGCTCGACTTTGACTTTGATGGCGTCTCGGTGTGCGCTCACCTGTACCTGTCGTGTTGCGCGAGTCGTTGGCTGTAGCTGCTTGCGTCCCCTGCTGGGGCATTGATGTGCGCTGACTGGTGCCCGACCGACGAGGTGAGTTGCGAGTTGCGAGTTGTGAGTTGATGGGACGGACGACTGACTGTGCGTGCGCACGTCCGAAACAAAGGCCGCGGGGCCATGTGCGGGAGCATGTAGCCGGCGCCGGTGGCACTTTGTTTCGCTTGTTGCTTGTTGGTTACGGGGACAAGACGAGACCAGAGTGAAGTTGCTGTGCTACGGGGTACGGAGGACGGAGCGAGGGCGAGGGCGAGTAAAGGCCTCGAAGGGGGGTCGGGTTGGTTGGACGTTTGACATTTGACGTTTGACGTTGGACGTAGACAAGAGCCGGGGAGGAGGGAGGGCGATTCCGTGGCCCGGGAGATGGCGGCGGTGCTGGCGTCTTGTTGTTGTTGTTTCGGCTAGACTTGCCGTTGAGGGAGGAGCACAGGCGTCGCCGGCGCAGCCAATAACGTGTCGGCGGGGCCATCCGGGACTCGCGCCGCGTGGTTGGCGTTGGTGGGGCGCTGGTCCACCCGTCGCGTGGCCGGACCGGAAGGGAGGCTGGCGATGCCGAGTTGCGGAGGTGGGGCCCTCATCGCTCGCCATTTGGGGCATCCTTGCGTTGCGCTGTTTTTTGATGGGTGGCATGTCAACTCTGCGCAGTGCTGCAAATTGCGCGCGATGATACTGCTGCTTCAGAGTCGGCCAGCTCCGCACATCTTGGATGATACGAAAATGATCCATCAGCACAATGGCCCAGCTGGCGCTACATATACCGCTACCGCTTGAGAAAAGCGGCATAGCTCGAGGCAGCATCCCAAACATGATATCCAAGTAGCAAAGCCCTGGATAACTTGCTTGTTCAACTCTCGGGAAAGGAGCACAGGAGAGATGGGGATTGGTCGCCTCCGCGACTTTGGGATACGTCGAGAACGAGATCATCCGCGAGAGAATGTGGATCGCGGTGAGACGTGTTCGCAAAAGTCTCCCGACTGTCTTGCGAGCTACATATGGCTCCGTCCAGATTTGGGGGACATCTCTCAGAGTGCGGAGATACGACTGAATGGTGCTTCGCTTCCATCGGAAAGCTTGCTTTAAAAACGCACGTCCCGTCTGGACAGTCGTTCGACTAACCATCGTCTCGGGCATGCTTTGGACAAACAATGTTCCAGCCGTGCTGTTGAAGCCAACGAGACTAGAATGTGTCGTCCCCCGTATCAAGCTTAAACCGCCCGAGCAGTCAGTCGTTGGTCAGGCCGGGCAAGAATCGAGGATCTCGGACAACCTCGGCCCTAAACAGGACGGTCGAGCCGGCCAGCATCCAGCACCACCCGGCAATGGCGTAGGCTGCTCCGAGGCCATTATTCCCTCTCCATGAAGCTCTCGTCATTGCCGTCTCCCATGGGGCAACACCTCTGCTGTTCTGGAGATGCTTGGGGACATGGACCGCGAGTGGTGGCCCAACTGCCCCCACCGACTGGTCGTAGAAGCAACCTATTAAGTTTCCGAGAAACTGCGGCGGCCACAGAATATGACCATCAACGTTGACTATGATTTTCTCCTTGTTGCCTCAATACCCAGCTTGAACTCTCTTGCCTGCTTGTCGCATGCGCATGTAACACCTTGACGTGTGTTGCGAGGTCCGCTGGTAGCGCTACTTTCTGAATCAGGTTCGTGACGTTGGCAACGCCCCTTTTCAACGGCAATGATGATGATCTTCCGTGATTTTATGGCCGTACCTGTCCATAGGCGGCTTGGAAACCACGCCTTGGTGCTGGCTGTCGGCACAATGGCACTTATATCCGAGGCAGTCGAATCGGACGCTGGATTCCCAATCTGCCGCTGGATCGGTCAATCCCTTTTGGAAGCACTCGACAGAATTCTGCCATCAATGGACCCCAAGAGCCTGGATGCCATCGGTAGACTGGCGAGTTGGTGAGGCATAACAACAAGAAGCTCCTTAGCAGAAGGCATGAAGGGTGGTGATTGCTGCCATTTGACGAGTGTGGCGTGAACCTCAACTGCCTCGAAGCCATGGCATACTCGCCGCTCCAAGCCGTATCAGCGGAATTTGAAGATTTGAACAAGACTCTCGGAACATGAACGGGCAGCACCAGCTCGATAACCGCAACAGTAATGGTCACCCTGGTACAACAAAAGCAAATGCGTCACCGTCACCAGTGTATCAGTGAGCTTCATCAGAATCATCTCCGCGTCGTCTTTGTTGTCTCTGTCGCCTTTGTCCTCTTTGTCACAACAAGCGAGAACATGGAGCGGACTCTCCTGAGTTGCTATGCTTGCTCATTCATCCTGCTTCTCTCTCTTGTGAAGATGAGCCCAGGTGGTTGCGCACTTGCGAGCCCCGACATCTTACCAGCATGTTTCCTTCCCGTTTGTATGGGACTTTTTGGTTCAATGTAAAGACGCCCTCGCATCATACTCATATATCATGCTCAGAGCCTAAAAAATATATTTCAGGAAAGAGACTTTGTCATGGAAGTTTTCGGGGTTCGCAATGTCCTGCTTCTATGCAATCGCGTTGTGTCAGCGTTGCTCGTGCCTGCCGTGTCGGCGAGAGCTACATCTGAGGTCGTTCCTGCCTTGCGAATCACGACAATTCGCTTAGACGTGGCTTTTGCTTTATGCCGGAAATCCGGTTTTCTCGACCTTCGTCTTTTCCCCTTTCCCGTGTGATGCCGTTTGGCCTGCCTCCTTTCTTCCATGCGACGCTGACGATGTATCGCGATGTTAAGCAGTATATTTGAGGGTGCTAATTGATGATCAACAACTCATCTCATCGTTGGCTACCCAAAGGCAAACGTGGACGACGATCCAAGTGTTCCCTCTTGGCCCCGGACACGGACGGAGCCACTCGTCTGGCGAGATTTTGAATCCGTCCACCAGACGATGCAGATCCCTTTTACTTCAAAGACTTGCTTTTGTACATTACTTGTCGTTTCGCAAAAGTCCCGCGGTACGTTTTCGGCTTCTCTACTACAGCTTTGTCATGACTCCAACGCACTCCCCCCCGACGCCTCGGCCGATGTTATAAAGCCTGCACTGTTAAAGTGAAGGAACCTCGGCTGGTGTAGGCTGCCGTCGTCCGCCATGTCCGGTAGCAACTAATATGGCTTTAAATAGCACAACCGCTGCCGTCAAGACAGTTTCCTCGACAGCAGCCTTGGATCCCAGACTCCTACTGGAGGCTCTAGGGTCTAAGGGAACGAACAGAGCCTGTTGATGATTGCCACCAGCCTGTTTCCATGTGTACTTATGAAAGATGACCATGCCACGGCGAACACCAGCCGAGGCTTTGGGTTCAAACAAATAGGCAGCAGACAGAGACAAACCCAGGCAAGACCGCAAGACCGCTCACTTCTTTCATTCGAGCGCGCGAGAACCGGATGAATACTCGAGTTCAAAATCTGCTCAGTATGTCGCGCATTTTTTTGCCTGCATCCCATTCCGCGGGCAACCCAAGATGAAGAGTTTCGGGCAAATCCTAGAAGTCGGCCGGTGGCTGTGTAGAAATGACGTGTCGCCTAGGCCCAATGTTGGAAGCAAAGAAGCCTCAGATTTGCGCCATGTCTCATGAAGAAAATAGCCTATTGGTGCAGAGTGCTGAGACAATGAGGCGTGCCCGTCGCTCCCTAGAAGTGAGAGGACTAGTAGTATCAGTTACCCGGACGCGAGTACGCCATCCAGTTCGCGACGAGTAGCATGGGCGTTTTTTTTACCTGACGAACACGTTCACATTAACGCCAAGCTTTCCAAGATTACCTGAGAAATAATGGGCTTTGGACACCCCTAAATTGCGTCGAGTGTGAGGCAAGAGGAGGCTCACGGGGTCAACGACTCACGTGGGCTCGAGAAGGCTGCAACAGATTCATTAAACGATGCAAAGAAGTGTGCACGGCTCAACGGCGATGTGCAGATATAGCCGTGGTTCATCTTCCAAAACGGGAGGCTACGCCGGAACCTTGAGACTTTAACGTATAAGAAATTGGCAGGTGACGGCGAGTTGATCGACGCGCGGTCGATTTGCTTGATGCAGGGAAGTTTGCGAACCATGTGGAAAGAAAATAATCGCCGCCCAAGTCGAATATGCCGTCTGTGACCGGAATCCGCAACATCGTAGAACAGGGAGGGGTCAAAAGATGCAGAAAATATGAGAGCGGCTACGTTCTGGGATAAGTATATGCTTCATACCGCAGTATATTGCCGCCGCATATCATACCGTGAGAACTGACATATAAGCCTATATAGCACCCCTATGATATACCTGCTTGTTGATAAGCCCATACCTATTATTCTACTGCAAGATGTTATTATTTTGCGCGCGATACACGAGTAGCTAGCTCTTGTGATCAAGCACGTTTAGCCTCCCACCGCACGCCCGAGATCGACAGGTACTAAGCGAACCAGGGCTCATGCTCATGATCTTCAGGGTCCTGCAGAGGACGATACGTGGCGCCCTGTCATCCGCATGTCTCTCTTCATCTCATCTCACGCTGTCTTGGAACGCCGACTGGAACCTGGCACCAAGATACGAAGTTTCCTTGGCCGCCACACGGTCCCATGATCACCTTGGGGACAAGGGCACTGACGATCGCTGCCACGTGGAGCTGCCAATAGCGTTGTCGACAGGTTGGATATGAACCAAACCCGACGATGGCCGAGGTTCAGACCCTCGGAAGCACGCATCAATTTGACAATGCACGATACAAGCCCTGATGGTTAGCCGCGAGTTGACAAGGCAGGGAGTCTTGCAGCTTACGGGAATCAAGCATTATAACGATGTAGCGAATCCCTTGCTAAATCAGGGTTAGCACTCTCAGAGTTATTTCTCCCCTGTAATCGCCTACTAACATTTTAAAATAGTTTATTACGTATGGCAAGAGTCAGGGGTTTTGGCTATCAGTCAGGTGAACCTTCCAGACCAACTACATGCTGCCTACGGGGGGGTAGTATACCGCGGCAATTTTTTGACACAGTTGTCGCCCTCGAGCGTGGAACCGAGCGTCTGGCCGTTCCGCAACTCAAGGTCTTGGTTGTACATGTCAATCCCTTGTCCGAAACTTAACATGACAATCAAACGTTCTACTTACAAGACATAAGACCCCTACGGAATGTATAGGCTGTAGTGTCCGTCCTGCGGCATGTGTTGCTCGCAATACTGAAGGCGTCGTGGGAGACAAGCCATGATCAACACCCATGATCAGGGAGGGACCCGGCGCCAAGTCTGCAGTTGCTCGAGTTTAGATACCATCCCGCTGCTTTTCCGTCCAAGATAATAGTTCAGGAACCCCTTCTCCAGGCAAGTTGGCAATCAGCGCTTGGTTAAATTGGCCCAACACAAAACTAACCAGTCCGGCTACCGCGTCCCCCCCCCCAGCATCTGCCAACCCCAGATTACCGGACAGGCTTGAGGAGTCTTGGCCACCCGGTACGGCGTCGATCGCTGCAAAGGATGAACGTGCTTTATCTCTATTCATCATGTCCCGAAGCAGGTGCAGGCCGCGTCGCGCCAGTCTAAACGCCAGCCATTCGTATAAGTACTTGCCTATGATCCCTTGGACCCAAACGACGAAAGACGCTCTCTTGCCTCCTCGCAAACTACAGTCACTACCGACCAGGCCACGCCATTCAAGACGCTCACAGAGACTTGGCACCGTCTTTTACTTGAGAAGCCATCTCCCCCGGACCGTTTGTCTACCACAAAGCCTTCATCCTGTCAAAATGAAGTTCGTCACCGTCGTCGTCGTCACTCTGGCCGGTATCGCCTCCGCGGCCCCTTACAAAAGATCCATCGTCAACGAGGACAGTGTCGTTGTAGGCCGTGACACCAGCGATGCTGACGTCGCTGATATCGAGAACGTGCTTCAGAGCCTCTCCGGAAGAGCTCTCCCGCAGGTAAGCCCAACACCAGACGCAAACCCCCGTCCATGGAGGAATCCAGCCTGACACATGCCGCAGAGCAAGCGGATCATCGGCGGTATCCCCCTTATCGCCAAGCTCCTGAGTCTGATGGGCCGTGGCCTCGCCCCCGGCATCATCAAGGCCGTCGTTGCGGCCATCGGCATGATTGGTTCTGGCCTCGGAATCGACGCCGCAAACGACTACCTCGGCCAGGCCACCAACGGCTCGGTCCCCAATCTGGGAGACTTTTTGGGCGCAAACAACATGGGCGACCTTCTGTCCGGCATCCCCGGCCTAGGCGGGCTCACCGGCTCCTCCTAGGTGAGCCGCAATGTGCGGCGGATCGGATGGCAACGCCACGCACTGCCATGGACGGAACTGCCTTTCATGTCAAATATCTTGAATGATTCGGAGCCCCCAGGGGGAGACCACGTCATTGTATACAGGCTGCGAAACCAGCCTCAGTGCGCAGTGTTGTTCGTCTTTGCCTCCTGTCCCATGTGGTGCAGAATGTTTTCACCCGTTTCGGTGCGCGCGCGCAAGACATGTTTGGCCCCTGGACTTCAGATCTCGATCACTGTCTCTCATAGTGTAATAAACACCAGTTGTTGTCAGTAAGAGGACACGATCCTTTCCTCTGACACTCGGTGCACGGTACTCCCTTAGACACGCCTTCCAACTCGTCGTGACCTTCTGTGCGCGCAAAGGCCACTGCGCAATGACTGTCCAGACATAAAGGGAAGAAATTTGATCCGTGTTCTTAATTGATGTGGCTGGGGAAGGTTTTCGCAGAACAGATGCGGTTCAAACGTCCAAACTTTCAGTCACTCACTCAACGCGACTTAATATCCCAAAGTAGAGCAGTGCTGATGCCGACACAGCCGTCAAACTCCGTCTCCGAGTGAATCATGGCAGAGCAGACAAAGTCCGGCCGTCGTTCCCCTCGAGCCTCTGCACAACAATGAGCCGCCAGAAAGGCAAACTGCCATGGTCAGACTTGAAGTTGGTATCAGGCTGATCCGCGAGGATGACGTACATGGCAAGAAGCCGCGCCTTGTTCAAGTCTTGTCCGCAAAGCTGGATCGACCTGCTTGGACAGGGACCGTCGCGGAACGTTGCAGAACGGCTTTGTGACATTTGGGTACAAGAGATTCTTGGAGTCGGACTTGAAACACGTCTTCCCTAGGGGCCGGGATAGAACCGCGAATGGCTTCAGGAGGGATTGCAAGCATCTCGCCAAGCAGATGTTGGATCCGAGGCCATGTGAGGAGAGCTGCTACATTGCCGCGCCTATTGACAGTTTGCTGAGGATTCTCGACAAGCCTTTGCTCGGGCTGTCAAAAATGCCTACCCAAATCACTTGCGCCTCTCGATCCGTCCATGAGTCCGCGGTCGGCACCCTCAACACCAAGACGGAGTCCACGACCACGACTCCGTGGCACTGCAGCGCCGCTCGCTGGGCAGACGGGCAATGGATCAGCGCCCCCATGGGTGAATTCCTCCAGGATCATAGGCTGGGGCGCACGTACGTGGACGTCCAGCCAAGCTACTTCAAGGAGAGGCAGCGGGAGACAGGCGCCGTCGGCATCACTCGCGCCACAGCAAGCTATTTCGAAGAGGCCAGACCTCGCAGCGCAAGCGGACATCTCGGCGGAGCGCGCACGTCTATCGAAACCTCACCCGGGAGTTGCGCCGTGTCTCGGCGCCGACAGGTGGTTTAGCCAACGCGAATCCTACTGAAAGCCTCGCAGAACATGCCAAAATTGGCATCTACTCGCCCTGCAACCAAGGGACGTCTCGTTCTCGGTGCTGGGAAGCCTCAGGCAGGTCTTCCTGCGGAGAAAAATTAGCTCTCAGCGGCGAGATGATGCCTCCCCGGGCGGCTTCTTGGTCGGCCAGGTCAACTGCGTTGCAAGGGGGCTGTATCATCGCCGTCGAAATGAAAAACCATTGCTGCCTCGACGGCCTCGGAGTCATGATTGCCAAAGAAGGCCGTGAACAAGGCTTCCGTTGCCAAGATGAGGGTCCGTCCTCGAGCTGCCTCCTGATGGCCGCCCGTATTTCTCGTCGCCCCTGCCGTCGACTCACACCGGCAGTCTCTCGGTATGTATGCCTGATGCGGACAGGATGGAAGAGAAATGCAAATACACGAAAACGAGCAGAGTGTGGGGATTGATGAGAGCAACCGCTGGGAGCAACGACGGCAATGCCGGACACCAAAGGCGCAAGCTATGGCCCGATCGAGGAGCTGTCCCATGGCCGGCGCGGCATACAATGGCACCCTGGATGGTTGAGCAAGGACGGGCCAGGAACTCGTGAAGAGCGTGAACAAGGCCCTTGTTTTTTGCCAGACTCGAGATATCCGAGGCCCATAGCGAAGGATGACTATACGTGGCAGTGGGCAGCGGGAATTGGAGACGGGCCAGCTTGCTCGCCGCCCGTCGGCGTCGAAATGGCCGTTGACGTTTCAACCTGGGATCAGGAACAGTCCCATCCCCAGACTCATCCCCAGACGGCCGGGCGCCATGTGCCATCGCATGGCTGCATCTCGCGCGGGTCGCAGCAACAGACTCGCGTCTCGTCGACGCAGCCCCTTCGATGATGAGCTGAGAGGGCGCCTTGGGCGTGCATTCCACGTCCCGAAATGCATCGCCCGCACGGTTCGTACACCTCGCCTCTGCGTCTTCCGAGACGTGGTATAAAGAGGTGCTCACCTACACCACAATCCGACGGATCATCAAGGACTGTGTGTCTGAGCTCTCGAGAACTGGCCCCCTACGCAGCCGCCTCTTGACATTGCCGCCAAAACCATGCATTTGCCATCCTGTCTCGCGTTTGGTTCCATCATATGGTCCGCCGCCGCGGCATCTACACCCAAGGTCCCTAGGCATGATGGACGTCGGCTGCACGAGGGTCCATTCGCGCCCGGCACTGCGTCGGATTGCGCATACTACGACGCAGCCGCGGACTCTTCGCAGACGTGCCGACAATTCGAAGCCGCCTGGGGTATTTCGCACGACGACTTCGTCGCCTGGGTGAGCTCCGTCCATCCATCCCTCTCGGAGACACCGGTGCCGGGCACCATGGCTAACCAGACTCATCCTCCTTGCCGTAGAACCCCAGCGTCCAATCCGACTGCAGCGGCATCGAGGTCGGCGTCTCATACTGCGTCGGGGTGAGCAACGTCCTGCCTCGCTCGTCGAGGACTGAGAGGAGCACCGCTGTGATCGACTCCTCCTTCGACAAGCGGTCGCCAGCTCCTCCATCGCCCATGGAGCCAGACACGGAGGAAGAATGCCAAAAGTACTATCGGGTGGTGTCTGGAGACACATGTGTGAAAATCGTCCGGAAGCACAGCCACACGTTCACGCTGGCCGACTTGTGAGCTTCCCCTTGATCCTGCTACTGCATAGTACATACAGCCCGTTGCTCACATGTCGAACTGCAGTTATCGGTGGAATCCTGCTTTGGGGAATGGTCTGAGGCCCTGCCTATCCGTGTGCTCACCTTCCGTTATAGATGCAGTGTACTGATGCGTGATTTGATTTATAGAATGCACAGCGCTCAAGCTGGATTATTTTTACTGTGTCCAGGGTCCGAATCCCTTCGGGTTGCGTCAAAGGATCATCTGCGGACCAGGACTGCTCTGTTAGAGTTTCTCTCTCGTCCTTGAGCGCACCGGACCACGAAGACGCCGCGGGGGAGAAGCACACTGAAGCCCGTCTTGCCACCGGTGGCCATGGGTATGCCGCGGTACGAATTTCGTCGTGGCGCCGGTGGCCACCGCATGCCCGGTCAGACAAGTTCAACTTAGCCACCAGACTGAGAGAGGCGAGGCTGTCCTAGAAAGTGGTCCGGCTGCACTTCATGGTTATGGAGACGAGCCCAGTGGCGTCTTTTGTCGACAAACAGGTGCAGGTTGCCTCAGGCAGCGTGGTTGATTAGGCCAGCTCAGACGAAATAAAGGTTTCTCATCCTGTTTTATATTAATCACAAAGTGACCTCAAGATGAATTACATTGTAGGATACCGGCTTATGAGAAGTCAAGATATCGACAAGTTTGCACAACCGGCCCTTTACAAGGGCAAGCGTGTGCTGCATCTGGGTTTTGGAAAGTCGTCGTCATCAAATCACCAGCTGTTGGCCGTCGTCGGAATGGGGCCTCCTTGTACGTGTCAAATCAGCAGCATCGTCCCTCGACGTGAGGCGTAATCGGGCTGTAAGTGCCCTAGGTAATCCACGGATAATGTTGACCCGCAGTCCTTCTCATCAAACCGTACAATCCTTCTCGGAGTCAGCTCTTCGCATAACTACCCGGTTCTTCCGTAGCCGCGATATGATTCTCAACTCCCGTCAAGTCTACTCACATATTTATATCAACGACGGCATCCACTACTGCCTGCGTTGAAAGTTGTTCACTCTGAACACGCAATGTCAACCGAGGTATGTCAAAGGGCGTGAAAGCTCTGTTCATACCACCAACACGCTTCACAACCAAGTCACATCACAGCAAGCATATTTTGCAAGGGCAAAAAGACCAGCAGCTAGTGGCGATTTCTCTGGAAGTTGAAGGATGCCGTTGCTGGGGCCGCTTCCGACTGGCCAGCTGCGTTTCACGCCACTTTCTTCTTCTCTTGGCAAAGCTGGCAGAGGGTTGGGAAGAGGGAATAAAAGTCTTCGAATTTTCAGTACTACTAGCAGCTTTTCTTACCTCATCCTTCGGCCATGAAGCCAATCCGGATGTTGAAGGGAGAAGAGAGCATTGGGTTGGGTCCGTGTCTACACTGAGCAGCCCATTCAGCTACTGCAGGAGCACTTCATGATCAAACAGGTGCTTCATAAATTGATAGGTCCTTGTCAATAATCGCACGCGACATCCGTCCAGTTAATGGTGCGTCGTCAGGCTCGTCAAAGTCCAAACTGATGTTTTTTGTTCAAGTATAATAGTCAGGTACCTAGTGACGCATTCTCAGTTCCAAGGGGGTATCGCAGTGCTCCTTAAAAACAACATCCATTTCATTCAACGGATGGACCAAAGTAAACACCAAAGTGACCATGGTTTTGGTTCTCCGTGGTCTTTGGAATTCGGACCAGCCTTCTCTTCCTCGGCCAACCCCGAGCATGGACGCGTGGCAAATTATTTGGCCAGCCTAGCTAACCAGTAGCTTATGCCACGTCAAAGAATAAAATAAAAGTAAAAGTAAAAATCAAGCAGAAGCCAACTAGTGATTAACCATCATCGGCGACGAGTAGTCCCATGAGGTCTGATGGACCCCGGGAAACTGTGACTCAAGTCCGACGCCAGAGCTTCGCGAGTGACTTGGCTTTGGCGTGCGGCTCTTTGTGGCTCGCGTTTCGCAGGCAGCGGTCCAGAATTTCCCGCCCGGCATCGGGAAGGTGAACGAGAGAGTCGTTGAGGGTATCGATGATGAAAGGGTTGGCTGCGCCGAGGGAGGAGTGTTAGCTGGTGCTTGATGGTTCAGGGTTGTTTGTTGCTTATGATACTTGACAGACTGGGGGGTTTGACGGCGGGCCCCACATTATGCCATGCATCAAAGCGAGCGTGCACACAAGGGACGAGGGGGATGCATGCACGATGCGTGCACTGCTGCCCGCTGCTGCCAAGGCAACTAGTGTCGTCTGGTGGCCTGACATGCCGGGCCGGCACCAGACCATCAGTCTCCAGAGTCCAGAGTCCGGGCGAGACGTGAATCACTTGATCGTGTCTCGACATCGGCTGCACGCACTGCACTCATTCAGGGAAAACAAGAGAACAAGAACGACAACACTGCCAGGCGGCTACTTACGCATCAGATCAATTCCCGCCTCGCCCGCTTTCACTGCCAGGTCTATCCTCGTCGAGTTGTAGCACCCGTACTTCTGCTGCAGGTCCAACATGCAGCGCCATAGCTCACGCATCTTCTCATTGTCCATGCCCTCGCAGCTGCGGCTCCAAGTTGACACTACACTTGGCTTCCGTGGTCGCTGATGCATGAAGAACCTTGCGGCGCACCGATGAGACGTTGTCAGCAGCGGAGAGGACGGCGGGCACGAGGACGACTCGTCGCTGGAGGCCCACGACGAATTCGATGCCGCGGAGCATGCCGACGAGGAGATCCGCCGGTAGGAAGTCGTCTGGTCGTTCATTGTGGGTGCGCCTTCTGTCTCGTCTTGTCTGCTGTCAAGGTTGATTTGGTATCCAAAAGTCCAGCCTGTGCGAGCGACGGGACACGATGATCTCTTTTTGTGGCCACCCTTGTTTGTTTTCTTTTGCCACAGAAGTATCAAAAGGAGAAGGTGAAGAAAACAGAGTCCGCTCCGGGATCAAAGGTCTCTTATAATACTTGAACACGATGCTCTGCAGAACAAGGGGGGTTCAACGTTCAACAGCCATGTCAGTGCCAATCATCCGTGAACAATAAATAGAACCTTGGCCATGACGGGTCACGACACACGACCGCGCTCGAATTTCCTCATCCGCTCAGCAGCCCCTCTTCAATGCTTGCTTGGTCGCCCGCCGCCGATCCGATGTCTGGCGTGGGATGCAACGTGGACCCTCACGGCATCGACCTTTTAGTCGAAAAGCGACGGAGCAGTGCCAAAGTAAAACTACTACCGCGGCGGATACGGACTACTAGCTCGATCGATAGGCACGCATGTGGCCGATGGATATGCATGTCCGCACATACATATGTGAGTAGGGGTCACAGCGTGCCGTCGCAGTGGTCTTTTGGGTGGCAGCGTGGGAGGAAAGCTCAAAGGCAGCGTGGTCTCGTGGCTATGTATTTTGTTTTTGGCCGATCTCGTCATGATTTCATCCGGTGTCACGTACGGAGTAGTGTATACTCTGTACCTCCCTCCCTGCTTGAGTGCTTGCCCGCTTGGACGACTACACCTTGCCAAGCTCATGGGCTGTCCCAGCCCTTGGTTGTACGCACGTCCGTTGTAATGCCCGCGCCCGGTGACAGCCCAAAGACGGACACCTTGAGCCGGATTGTGGGCGCTCTGGTTTTTTCTGTGACCATGTTATCACGTACGTGAGTGACAGTGTTGTCGAGTCATTGTGTCTATCCGTCTGCTAAGCTGCCAACCCTGCGACCATTCATGCCCGGCTCGTACGGGGACAATGCTCCAGCGGCCAAACACACGGTGTGACTGAGAACGTCTTTGCCGACAATCGTGCTCCGAGACAAGCGTTCTGCAGAGCACGGTGTTACACGAAGCCCGACTCGAGGAGAGTGACATTGAAGAGAGGCTGGGCGGCAAGCACCATCCGTCCATGGAAACCTTTTTTCCTCAAGGTTCAAGGTGGTCAGAGTGCTATAAAGGGACAAGGAATATATAAGAACTGAACTTTGTTTGCAGGGTGGCATAGTCCACAGTGCACGTTCCGTCCTGACGGCACGGGAATCAGGGTTTAGATTTCGATAGTATGAACGGGGCTCGACGGTTTTGGGCGGCATGGCGTTACAAACTCGTGACGTGGAGCGCATGATGCGAGCGTTGACTGCTGCACTGGATTGCTCGATGGAGAAACGTGAGGGGAGTGAGTCTGACTGGAAGGCGAACGACGTTTTGTTTGTCAACTTGTCATCCGAAGGAGAAAATGATGACTAAGACATGATGACTAGCACGTCTTTGCACCCATCGTCTGTTCAAGTGCCAGCCTGCGTGGGAGCGCTCCCCGATCGAGTCCACCACCCAAGGTACTTGAGTACGCATACGTGTAGGGCTGAGGCGGCATCAGTCTTATATCGAACCACCATTGGTGCTGGATGCTCCGACTTTTCGGCATGTTTTCCCCTGCGCCGCGTGTCTCGCGCTGTCTGTGGAGTCAGGACTGACGACTATCCCAGCCTCCCCGTCTGCTTTCTCGACTCCGCTAAAATACCTACCTAGGCTCGTACTTCAAGCTGCTGTCTGTCTTGTGCGTTGCGGCCACGGCGAACGAGCCGCGACCTGTCGATAGTCCAGCTGAATTCAGACGAAGCTTCGGCGAAGCTGTGGACACCCAATGATCGATCAACTGGCTTCGTGCCACCAGACGCTCAAACAACTCCCAGCTACTACCAACCACACTAGAGCGCCACAAGTGCCGCCTCCACGACCTGATCGGGGGCCTGGCAAACCTATTGGCTAGTCGGCAAGTGAGCCCCTTGCTTGACACCCTTCCTCCCGCCTGGCTGATGCCGGAATTGTTTCTTTCGACTTGGCTTGAGGGGTTTCTGCAACTCTTCAACACGGGGTCGACAGCCCTTCCGGACAGCCGCGTTCCTGCGATTAGGACGGTTTGGTCCGCCGGGTCCCCTTTGTTTGCAACAATAGGGACATTGGTACGGTTTCCCCCACCCAAAGGAAGAGATGCTTCCGTCCCGTGTTGACGGACTGGCCTGGAGATTGGGAATCGAGATCCTTGCTCTGCGCACGCACATGTCACACGGTCTCCCCGTCGACCAGTGATGAAGTATAGGCTCCTTCTCCAGTGTCGGCTCGCAGTACTTAGTTGCTCCTGCTGCCCTTTCCCCGTCGTTCCCAGGGTTAGTCAGTGCTGCAGCTCGACGCCTAAACTTTATCTCATCAAGGTTGCACCACTACCCACCCGCGCTTACCTGTTGAAAGTCCGTGAGGAATCCGTGAGGGGATCGTAAGGGGACCGTGAGCGCAAGCAAACTCACACAGCGAAGCCGCGTTGAGCTGTTGTTGCTGGCCGTTGCGAAAAGGGAAGCTTGCAGACAAGGCTCCCGCGATAGGCCGCTCGGCGGAAAAATGCAACCCCACGTGGTTGCGTCAGGGCAATGGCTGTGGCGATGGACCCTCGATCAGGCGAGCCATCGGCGACGGGGTTTTATATACCAGACAATATTGGGTGAGGACCCTACGAGAATTTGAATGTCGAGAGTAAACAATAGAGTGCGGAGTACGGAGTACCGTGTGGTGGTTACGTGTCTTGATGGCTAATGTGCGTGCTACGTGTGATTTGGCTCCTGACCTGACTCCTGGCTTGCGGCGGTACTTACACCAAAGGGAGGCCTGCCATTCCAGCGACGGCATATTTTGTCCACTACGGATGCTCAAATTGCGGAATATGCATCTTGATAGGGCCAAGGGCGTGCGGTAGTAATTCGGTTGGAGTGTGCACACGGCAACGCCGAGGCTATACTGACCCTGCGAGGGGTTCAAATGCACACTGTTGGAAGTGACGGTACTAGAGGCATCGGTTGTTTTTGTGAATTTGAAAAGTCCATGAATTGCCTCTTGTACAATAATGGTTTCGCTGCTGCTAGGTAATGAGAACTAATCACCCGCAGTAGTAGAGCTTTAACGGCCATGGTCCTGGCACGTCTTCTAAACGGCCCAGATCCAATGGGATCAAGCTGTATTGTATTCTCTTCCATGCTGCAGGTCGCTCTGACTGATGAAGAGGAGACCATGTCTTTCAAACATTGTGGACAAGTACTTTTGTCCAAGACCACACGTTTTCGGGTACGCCAGGCCTCTCCGACCATCACGTCTCGGAGGCAAAGGGCGGACTGGATATCGTTGCCAGCAAGCTGCATCACGAGTATCACTTTTGTTGTGCGGCATGAAGCTGACGATTGTAGACGCGAACAAAGAGGGCCATGAATGACCTGTCTATTTGATGTGCAGACATGGCTGGCCGCCAGCGAATGACCACGATGTTGCAATCCCGGACTCGATGCTCCTCGATGCTCCTCGATGCCAGATGCTCCATTTCCTGTTTGCATTCATCATTCCAATTTTGGGCAAGAAGGAATTCGCTGCCTCCAACTCCGAGGACGCCTGCCATGTTTGCCGATGCCTTTTGTTGCAACTTGGGAAGGACGGCCGAGGCGAATGCGACTACCGAAGGAAGTCGACGACCAATGGCCAAAGCTGATGATTTCTTCCATCATGGCAACTCCCACCGACGGACGGACATACTTTGCCAAACAAAATCCTCGCTTCCGTACCATCTTCACTTCTTTGCAATCATCATCATCTGCATCCGCTTCAAAAGCAATATCAACAGCTTATTGTCATCCAGCCCGCCAAGACATAGCCGTCATTTTGCTTCGCTCTTGAAATATCCCAGAAGAAAGGAGGCCAAATAATAGACTTCGAGACGACAAGATGATGTTTACTGCTGCCATCGTCCTTACTATTCTTGCGGCCACTTCTTCCGTGGTCGACTCCCGCTCCCACAAGTATCCAAAGAAATCAACTTCCCGCGGCTTCCACCTGGTCGTCAACGTCACCGACTCGTCCCGCCCGCTCGCAAAGTCGCCTCACGGAAAGCTACTTAGCAGCATTCACATTGGCCCAACTCACAATCTCCTTGGAATTGGCAACGGCTTCAACCCGCGTGTCTTCTACCACAATGCAACCAAGAATGAGTTTCGGTCCAGCAATGCCCAGATCTTCTCTGGCGGCGGAACCTCCAGCATCCAGTATGGCCTCAGCCTCCACTTGGACGAGGGCAACAATAATGTTTCCAGCGTCAGATTAGACGTCGGTGATGGTCAGCGTGGTCTTTCTATTTCCCAGGGCCGTCACCCCTACGCCTTTCTCAACTTGAGTCGGCTGGCAATGTGCAACGAGCCTATCAAGTATTACCACGGCAAGAAGATGGTTATTCTGAAGCAGTTCAACAACCCCGACATGGTCCATGGCAATATCCCCGAAGAATGTGCTCCTATCCATCTGCTACCGCAGTGCGTTCCCTTTGATCCATCTCGCCCGGCGTGGGGGATCCCAGTCCACGAGTTCGTTCGGGAAGCAGACTGCTACAAGAACGTCTCTGCGATTAATTGGTCCCGCCACACATCTTTGAGCTGGCACGAGTGAGTGGCAAGGATGGTTTAGGGGATTCAACGTCTTCGCGGTTGCACACGTCTCCTGCTTCCACATGACGGTACAGAATAAACAGCATCGTTACATGAGCATCAATATATTTTGCCTGTGGTACAATCTGTCTCTGCCCCGACCGCTACAATGGAAACGGAAAAGTGCATGCTCACCTCGCAAAGTCTCGGCAAATAGCCTGAGAAAACGCCTCTGTGCAGGCAAGTTTCAGCAGTCTCATATATTTGCATGTAGCCATGGCCGGGGGTGCGGCCTGCAAAAACCGTACTTGAAGGTGATGGATGGAATCACGTTCGTCTCTTGGAGAGCAAGCTAGGCTCCAATGACCCTCTTTCGCAGTGTTTTGTCAAATTGTCATTGTTTCCATTATACATTGGCCTTGGTTCGCAGCAAAAACGGCCAAACTGCGACTGTTCCCATCATACAACGCCATCCAAACGCATAATGCGGCAAGCCCCTCAGACGCCAAACGACGTCGCCTGGGTGAGGACTCTGACACGGTGCCATTTCCGGACGGAAGACATTTTCAAGGCGCTTCAAGCGGCAGTTGTGGAAACAAAAAAGAACGAAGACGAAACGCGCCGACCCTTGCGATATCGAGAAGGTAGAGCAATCCAAAGCGCATGCGGCGCCCTGAGACGATGGAAACAACACCCGGTGGATGAAATCGTCGGGAGAGACGGGTTCGGGTGCGGAGGCAGAGTTTCTCAAGCAAATACTCCAGCAAAACGGCATGCAATGGATACCGTACGTGTAATAGTTATTCCCTGCCTTGGGTGGATCGTTGGATACATATTATACGGTCAGGATGCTAACAATATGGATGGTATTCGTCACGCTCATTCCAAGCTACGCACATTTCATAATCGATCGGCACAGCTCTGGCAAAACAAGCCCGGACTCTTGTTGGGCAACAAGATGGCAGCGACTATTAAGACTGGCGGCATATTTGGAACCAGCTCACCACGGCGGGCACACCTGGCGGACATTCAGTTTGAGAAAATCGCCTATTCGCGAGACCGCATGGCATGGGCCGGAGCGGTGAACTGCAATAAGAAATACATGGTGCAGCTGGCAAAGAACTGCAATAAGAGATCAGAAGCGACTGGTGCAGCCGAGGAAAGCATGTGAGGACTCGTATATTATCGCCATTCTTCTTGCCACGGTACAGGCGAAGCGAGCGATGGGATATGACGAGGGAGACGATGGTTTGAAGGTGCATCTGATAGCTTTACCTGAGACGCATGCGTCCGGGATGCACTTTTCAAGGCAACGATAACAAAATCGTTTCTGGATGGGCTGGAGAAACCTCTTGAGAGTGGCCTGTGTGAAGGAGGATTCAGGGTCGGCTACGAGCCTATGTGGTTTAATCAAGCCGCGAAAAGTGGCGCGCCTCTTGTACGAGGTTTTACGCGGAAACGCGCTTTGCAAACAGCATTGGGTTTTCCGCAGTTCAGCTGTCATTTACGGTTAAACTTACATGGTGGAGTTTCGCCCCCCGGGGTTAGATCTACCGCATTCCGAAGGGCCTGGCTAATCCCAACGGCCATCCTCACCCCCAGGGGCGAATATCAGAAAGGTCCAGAGTCAGGGTGTTACGCCTAGGACCGCTTCCGTGGCTGCGTTTGCTGGACTGCATCTATCGCTCGAGGCAGGCCTTTCCTCGACGCCAGAACCGGGAACGAGACGAGACGAGACGAGACGAGACGAGACGAGACGAGACGAGACGAGACGAGACGCGGCTGCCCCCAGCTCCGTCCATGGCGGCGACGTGGAGAGTTTTGCACTAGGGACCGATGGCGTTTGGCTCCGCGTGTCCGTTCCTTTGGTTGAGGGGAAAACCACGTGGTGGCGGTCCGCGGAGGCTATGGCTATGGCCGATAAAGTACGGGGCAGCGCTTGGCATCATTCTGGATGGAAACATGCGGTGGCAGAGACGGATGGCGATGCAGACTTGGGGTTTGCTGCCCACCCGGCTCGAGGTGAGCGATGACACACAATTGGGCCGTGATGGCTTCGGCCGCCACGGTTACGACAGCCAAGGGCCCTCCGCCTCTGCCAGACGGTATTGAACCCTACTCGTGTCTAACCTATTCTCTGCAGAGGTCGTATTTCCCCGTCCGTACGCTCTTTCTGTGCTCAATGTTGCCATGGTGGTTGGCTGGGCTGCAGTCAACGCAGGTCGTTGCTCGTCGGATGGTAGGCCGCTGTAGATGGACGAATTTTCGATGCGAGAGACGTCCTTCCGTCATGTGGCCTGCCTCCATTAATAATTCTGATTCTTCAAATGTACGGAGTGGAAGGGTAACTCGTGACACAACTTCTCCGGGCCAATCAAATTTCCTCTTGCCTCTCTCCAACTTCCGCCGGCTTCGTCAAGAGTCAAGACTCAAGACCTCGAGACGTGCCGCCACCGCAGCTCATCGACGTCGCCGTTGTCAGTCCCTTGGAAGCGAAGCGGGCACACTGGCACACTTTGGAAACGCATCTATCCCTTGGCCATCGACTCATCTTTGAAAAGCCAGGCCGCCGCCTCGCCAGGTCTGGCTTAACCTTTAGTCATGAGCCCGTATCGTGGCTGTGATAACTGTCGAAAATGGAAGAAAAAGGTACAGCAGCACCACTTGTTTTTGCCTCTTTCCTTGTTGCCACCTGAGCACAAGGCTAACCGCCTCGTTCCATCGTACATTGATCACTAGTGCGACTGCTCGCGCCCCAAGTGTTCTTTGTGCGCGCGCAAGAATCTCCCCTGCCACGGAGTTGGCCAGCAACGGTTCAGATTCAAAGACCAGTCGGCCTCGCTGTCCGTCGTAAGAAAACAGAACACGGCTCGTCCGGGCATGGCCGGCGTGGCGAGCGTTGCAAGCCCGCCTAGCAACGGTTCGAGCAAGCTCGCCGCCTCCATGGTCCATCTCTTCGAGGCCCAGCATCCGGGATATAATCTAAGTGCCATTGTGAGAAAGTCGGCCGTCCAGCGCATCGGCAACTCCCCGGCGCTCGATGCATCTCTCGCCGCGCTGGTCAGCACCGTCGGGTTGTTGGCGGCGCCGGCCAAGCCATCCTCGCCACGGCAACTGTCGTCGAACACCAGGCCTCTCCAGAAGTACACCGCTGCTCTGGGCGCGCTTCGTCAGAGCCTCGATGAGCCGGCAGTCCGGTACCAGACGGACACCCTGCTGGCCGTGTTTGTACTCTCCTTCTGCCACATGTGGGTGGTCGACGGCGCCCGTGAGGCGAGCGGCCACATGGATGGGCTGGCGCACCTCATCACCGTCGTCCTGGACAGTGGCACGCAAGACCCAAGTCAGTTTTCTGACGATGCGCTCAAGCTTGCCGCGATACAATTGGTACGTCTTCGGGACCAGTCGCCGTAGGTTTCTCGGCCAGTTCCCGCGGTCCTTTCCCCACGTCGACTGACACGAAACGCGGCAGCTTCGGTCAAGCGTATTCAACAGCAGGATTCAAATCTACCCCTGGATATTCAACGTCTTTGATTCGACGGCAGAGCCGCGCCATCTAGCACCCCGGCCCTGCCATAAATCCAGGACCAAGAAGCCGCTTTGGCCCTATGACTTCTACTGCCTCGACATCAGTGTCTACTTGATGATACCGCAACTGTTGCGGCGCCCCAGGGAAAACATAAAGTCAATCGAGCTGATATATGCCATGATCAGGGATGCGTATCCAAGATGCGCCAGAGACGTCAATCCCACGCATCACCAGACCGTCGAGGACAAGGCGGAGCACGACGCCTTTATGCAGGCTATCCAAGTGGAAGCACAGTCGCTTCACATCGCCATAGGCCTCAGCTTCAACGCCTTCCTGCGCACACGCGCCAGAGGGGGACTCGACGACCGGCGGCTTGCTGACGACCGGGCCACGTTTTGCGCCGACGCGGCCACGCTGGCGGACGAGTCCAAGTCTCAGCTCCCCCTGAGTGCGCACCACATTCCGCTGTCCACAATTGCTGCGTGGTGTACCGCCGAGCAGGGCTCTGATTTGAAATCCAGGCTGCGTCAGTTGCTGGACGACTATCGTTGCTCGTACGCCATGGTTCACGTCTTGCATTCCGCTCCCTACTGGCGGGAGGCGCCCCAGAAACTGAGCCGTGAGATTCCTTGGTTTCCGGCGTACATTGGCGGTGCGCGAGCAAGTACGGCGGGTACGGCGGGGGAGGGAGACGAGTTTGACGCGGAAATGTATGAGCACTGCTGCATCTTGTAAATGTCTACGGCGGCAGTGCGTTCTGGCCGCTGGGAAAGGCGGACAAGTCGCCTCCTATCCATGGATACCCCTGCTCTGGATCCCCGGGGCCAAATGCCTCTGACGCAAGGAACTCGACGTCGGCTGGTACGTTCGGACATCCAACTACAGAAACGTAAACGGTAACTAGAACATTGCCACCGTGTCCAAGACCAATAACAGTCCATGTGGTAGTACAGAGTAAATACAATCTGAGGTACAACATGGCCATTAAGTAAGGGAATCACTGCAGCAAAACAGTAATTCTCTTCATCCAAGAAACACCGCTTGTCGGCCCAATGACCGCATGTCTTTCTTCGATACTGACCCAGACGAATCCGGAATGCTGTGCTTGGTCTTGCTTCTTTTCTGCGGGAGCTACAGCCGAGGCTTTTCCCGGAAAACACAACGACACAGTTGAAAATCGTGCCAAAGATGGCCTCGCCAAATCATGACTAGGACAAGGAGACAACGCATGTGCGCACTTTAGCCCGACAAAGCATGTTTGCTCACAACCTTGAATACAACGCAGTCACAAATTTCCAGGGGTTCTCGTCCTTTAGTAAACGCCCTGCGAGAGGCCGAGGAGGATATACTACACGAGCAAAAGTTGCAAATAAATAAAGCTACAAACGAGTACTACGAGACGTTACATTAGGCGTTGCAAGAGTATCTGTAAAGAGATTTGAGACCTTTTACAGCCAAAAAATGTGAAATCTAGCTACCAAGGCTAACACCCAACTAAGCAAAGTCTAGCTATACAAGTGTTGTTGAAACCTCATTTTCCAGCATTTTACGACTTTAAAGTCCATGGTAGGCGTTGAGACCGTCAAGGTAATAACTGCCAATTCAAGTTCAATGCCAATTCGCCTTCACGATGTAGCCATTTGTCGTTGCGCACATAACCAACTACACCACGGCCACTACAAGTAGCCACCATCTTTACAGCTATATTTTACCAAGAGTTAGATTTGCTTCTTTTTTTATTGTAAGAGCAAGTAGAGTGATAAAGACGGAGTCGTAATACCTTCAATTAGCGCTGCGTCGTCGGAGTCTCCTCTGAGAAGAACCAAAATGCGGCTGAGGTCTTTCAAGGTAGTTCGATCCAAGTCCTTCACTTCAAAAGGAAGCTTGTTATCGCGGCTGAAGCCCTTGGCTACCAGTACGTCTTGGTTGCCAACACGGATATGGACCTCGTTTGAAGTTCCGGCCCACCATTTGTCAGATATAGAAAGAGTACCAGTTACTCTCTGTACGTCGGTACATCGACTCTGCTCCAAGGGAACTCTAGCTATGTCTATCGTCTCAAGCTCGTAGTAACGGTTTTGGCTGCTTCTGACGAGTTTTCCCGGCTTCAGAGTGGTTTGTCCGAGTACCTTGAGGCGATAAAAATTATTCCCATCAGAGCAAGTCATGTAGATGCCTGGGCGTAAATCCAGTTAGTGCTTAAGAAGAGAAGCTGCTTGGGTAAGCGGTAAAACACTAGATCAACGTACTTTGAACAGGTATCTGCATTGTCTGTAGATTATCCGGCACATTATGGTGCTGCGGTTTTACTAACACGAGTTTCAATTTTCCTTTGAGCTTCCCCGGCCGCCCCATGTTCAACGTAATGCTAACACCGGGACCAGACCAAAACGTGGTTTCCTGTGGAATCGGGCTGTCCCGACGGAGCCTCGCGGATAGTTCAAAGGCAGGTGCGTCCTTGCGGAAGTCAAGGTGCAATATCAGTTCTCCATCGCAGGTCGATTGCCCTGCTCGAGGCGCCCTCTTGCTTGGGTGCAGGTTTTGAACGACAGTCGATAGCTCTGCGCCTAGCGCGAGAGGCAGCGCAGCAGCGAGACAAACGAGGAAGCGCATTTTGTATGAGCCACGAAGTCTCGTTGATATTACTGTCCAGGTGGTATGAGAAGAGATATTCTGCTGCTTTTAACTTCGGTAAAATACTCCTATAGAAGCGCGTACTATTCCTAGTCTATGAAGAAACGCTTACGCTGGCAGCATTTAGTGGCCTGATTGTAAAGCTATCTGCAGATAGATGAGATAAAACTTGTTTTACTAAACCTAAATATCTTACACGTTAATTTATTACTTAATTATTATAAAATACAAAACGGGAAATACCGCGCTATCCACAGATGCCCTCTACACTTCATTCTGTATTTCTGTAATATCTTGCTTCTCCACACTGCAGAGCCTGAAAGCTCGGCTAGGAAGGGCCTTTCCCCTGATCGAAACAAGCAGGCCAATAATGAGACCGAACAAGCCCGAGACCGAGCCGAAAATCTCAACGACCATCATCTTGACAAATCTGCCGCAAGAGTTAGTCCACAGCAACAGCAGCAGCAGCAGCAGCAGCAGCCCGCAGGAGCACATTGCCGAGGTTTTACGTATTTGTTCGCTTGTTCGTCTCTTGCAACTTGGACGAGAACACAATGGACACGACGACGCCGTAGATGGCGACGACCTCGCAGAAGATGATGGAGATGAGGTTCTTGGTGCGGATGCGCGGCGCCCTCGCGGCCGCACCGAGGATAGACGAGCCGGTAACGGCAATGCCCCTACACACGGGGGCAGAGAAAGAGGGGGAGAGAGTACATGGTCAGCTCGTGCCGGGGACCCCTCGCCGACGACGAGACGATGGTGGATGTGGATGTGAATGTGGATGTGGCTGCCGCGTACCATGCCGCACCGACTACCGACAGACCCAAGCACAGCGAGATGCCGAGATTCGCCCATGCCGCCGGGGAGACTGGCTCCAGAAAACGGCCGACGTTGAAGGACTCGCCGCCGCCGGCGAGACGGGGGGTTGGGGGTCGGCAAAGGAGGCACACACCGGCGGGAGCGCGCGTTCCGTGGTTCACGTACATGCTCCGACGACGAAGAGCAGCAACGTTGCGCCGTATGTGGCGTACATGTTGGTCGGCGGGCCGCGGTTTTCGGCGGATAGAGGCGATGGCCGGAGAATAGCAGAAGCTGGGAGAGCTGCCCTCAGCCCGCGGTGACGATGGGATGGAGTCGCTGTTTCGAAGTTGAATGTCGATGCTGACTGAGGCGGGCCGATGCGCGGCGGCTTGATTGGCTGGGGCGGGGACCTGGCCCTTGAGTAGCCTACCCTGTAGGCTTTGTCTCTGCCTGCGTCTGTCTGAGCCTGCCCGCCTGTCGCGTCGTGCTGTTGCTGGTATTACAAATGGGCAAAGGCACAGTGGCGGATTGAACCGATTTTTGCGCAATAAATACCACTGATGTTGATTTTTGTATATACACAAGAACACCTGTGGCACGATCAACTTGTTCATTCTGGAAGGTGACCGCCGCCGGTTTCCAGCAGCTGGACCGGGCATTCGTTCCACAGATGGGCAATTTCGAATTGGCAACAATCCCAGAGCCTAAACATGGCTGCTTCTCTCTTTGACAAAAAATAAAAAAAGAAGGCAATAAACGCAATCAGCCAATGTCCAACGAGTCGTTGATCCGGACGTAGGTCCGGACAACCGCATGTCGCACATGAACGGGCACGGCGGTCGATGACATCACTCACCCACCGCGAGACCGAAACGCGCGGAAAAGAAAAAAGGGGAATAAAGGGATAGGGCCACTCAGCACGGGGCAGGCGGACAAAAAGAGCGGGCCCGCTCGGGACGGAACACACACTGACACCGCACATGACGACGTATTCGCCGCTCACACGCAGCGGCGCCCGGGAACCTGGTTCTCCGCGTTGGGTAAACCGGCGGTAGGGGGGGGGCGAGTCCTGTCGTCATCGTGGTCCCTTCTTTTTTAGACACGGGTAATTTGGGAAAATGGGATTCTTGATGGGCGTTGATGCATGAAGTCATGATGGCGGTGACGAGGCAGGCGGCGGCGAGGGGGGAGAATGATGACGGAGACCAAGCCCGTTGATGGCGTCGCGGATCTCCGAGGGCCCGTACGTTGGTCTGTCTTTGTTGCTTGGCACTTGTACGGAGGACTAGTTACTGGAGATGACATTTGATATCCGTACAGGCGATAGTACTACCTGCACCGTTAGTTTGCGGGGATCCTCCATCTCCATGAAGGGACGTAGTAAGTTACATACGTAGATCTGAACAGGGAGAATAAGTAAGTAAAAAAGGCGGGGGAGGGGCAAAAAGGAGGATCCTTGGGGTACCTTGGTACTTCCCAGGCAGGTACCAGGTATCTTGGTCCTGTCCTTCGCCCGCTTAGCTAGAAGCCAACTCAACTGCAGAAGTGCAATAAACGTCTTTTGCAAAGCTGTCAATTTGTTCATCAGACATGGCAAGCCAGTGTCGGGTCGTACAACGGTGTGGGCAAGGGAGCGCGGTGAGCCTGTTCCTCCGGCTGCGAGACATCTCAACGGCCGGCGTGACCAGGCGACCGACTGGCTGGCTCAGGCGAATTTATTCCGCCGTCTCGGACAACGTGCTAAATACCTAGGTACTTGGGCCGCCGTATTCCACGGGCCGACCGCATCCAACAAAAGTCTGTCTACAGGTATCTCGTACCGTGCCGGTCACACCGTGTGCCATCTTTGCACCCGCCCACCGACTGTGTGTTGGAGACTGCCTGGTTCGGCCTCGAAGACGGAGCCGCATGGCCCGGTACATGGTCCAAGGCGTCTTGTGCCTCTCCGGCTTCCGGCTCGACTTGGAGGATTCCCTCGAGCGCGAATATTGCATATTTGCATATTCGCACCTCGCATCGCATCCATTCCCCAACCTGCCACGACCAAGACTGCTTCCAAATCACCACGTGAATTTCACAACCACACACGACTTTGTCGACATATCCTTCAACAGTCCGGCGGCTGCGGCGCTTTTCCCCATGCTCCGGCTTCAAGTCGACCTTCCGTCCACACATCGGCTGACCCACCCACATCTGCAGGCGTCTTGACTCTTGAGAAACATCCAATGAGCAGACAGCACATGCACAAACGACATCACCGATTTGGGCGGCCTCTTGCAACGACAAACACTTGGACGGACAAATAACATGCGCTGCGTGACAATCATCGGACCCTCTTCACCACCAAACGGCGCCGCGATGCGAAAAAGGTCATGCTCGACTCCACGTCGATGCAAGGAAGGGGGATTGTCCAAAGTCTTTTTGACCTAGATCAGGAAGTCCGCCGAGGGAGATGCAACGACGAGGGTGAGAAAAGACGGACGCCCACCCAATCTTTACGAGATTTCAACATGGCAGCGTCCCTGGCGGCGGTTCTAGTCTCATCAGCCCTGTCGGCTGACGAACCAGACAGGCGGGACGCATTCGTGCCCATCGCCACGGCCCATGGGTACATTCGTACATAATCTGACATGGGGTGGTGTCGGCAACGCTGCCATGTCGAGGGCGAGCTGACGGCAGCAGCCGCCCCAGCTCGTCATGCTCGAGGTTCAAACAGGCACAGCAATCTGACGCGGCTGTCAAGGCTCGTCGACGGGGATCCGCACAAATAGCTGAGTGCGTCTTACTCAGCCGGCCGCGAGACGTCCCAGTGACAGTGACGGGCGAAACACGGTTGGTCATGGAGCATGGTCTCGTGCGGCAACATCTCGTTTAGCAAGCGACGCAGACTGTGTGTGCAGCCTGACTGACCAGACAAAATGATGGATGCACCAAGGCGCTATCTGCACCAGGCAGGCCGTCACAACTTACAAGAGGGCGGCCGGCGGCGGGCTCGAACCCGCCAGCTGCCACTTTGAGCTGCGCCACACGATGCTAAGCAAAAGAGTTTACCAAATGACTGAAGGGCAAAAGGGCAGGGTGACAGCGTGGCGGAAACGACAGCTTGCCTGCCGTGGGAGCGCAGAGAGCCGCGAAATGAGGCTGTTTGATGCGTCCTCGTGCACTGTACACATGGAGAGAGAGGGTGAGCCGGCGAGAGACGGAGTGAGGCTTCCATGACTGCCCCGACGTCGTGTTGGCCGAGTACTTAACGTAGAAGAGGTGACGATTCTCAGCGAGTCCCACAGGGCACATGTTCATACTTTTCTGTGGAAAACCTTTTGGCTGCTCGTCCATGGCACTTTGAATCGATGCCGCGTGGTGACAGGATTGCGAGACAAGACTTTGGATCCCGAGTAGTTAGTTTGCTTGCTATATGTATGACTTGCACGCCGCATTTGTCGGTCCCCAAAGACTAGGATTTCCCGGCCAACTGTTGGCCACGTGGAAAGCCTTCACCAGGGCTTCGGTTGTAGCTGGCTCAGCCCTGCAAATCTATTAGTTTGGTTATTGTCTGCCTAGAGGCAGCCTGCTTCAGGAACCTCGCTGCCTTAAGTAGGCTAGGCACCTTGGTGCTTGGTGCTCGGTGAGTAGTTACTGCTAACCCGGGTGCTGGGGCAAGTCGGCAGGGAGCAGGCAGCACACAGTGCCACTGCTGGCTGGCCACGATTTGCAAGTCGAGTCTCAGAGTCTGTTCCAGGGCCACGTTTGATGCTGATATGGAGTACATGGCGCCGAGGTACTTGACTGGAGATGCTTGGCCCCTCCAGCAGATAGAGGGAGTATCTTGGCACGCAGGGCCGCACTGTGTCCCTCTCGATGGATGGGAGGCTCCTTCCTGCTGGTCCCCAAGGCAGCGAGCGCCCCCGCCAAGCCCCGCAACAAACCCAAGGCCCCAAGTCCAGATGCCTCCAGCCTCCAGCCTCCAGCCTCCAGCCTCCCGACGAGCATGGCGATTGATTATTGTACGTTGACGTACGGGATATTCATCTTTGCGACATTGTGACCAAACCATTCCAGTCCAGCTGCCCTGTGAGCCGAGCCGCATGCCGTCGTCGTTTATTTTCTTTTCATGCTCCCCCCCCCCCTCCCGATCGAGTTTTCCGTTTCCGTTGCCGACTCGAAAGGATATGATGTGCCCGAGCGCGTTGAAATCCTCATCATCTACTGATCGAAAGCGCAGAATAGTCTCTTGACCGGCCCCGTTGGACTCGTCCATAACCTCGCAACGATACCCTAGTCAGAGCCTCGGGATTACTCGTCTCCCACACCCAACGCAACCGCATGAGTCGGAGCTCCCACTTGGCACGTCACCCAAAAGTTTCCGAGCCCCCCAACAAGGTCGACGGCGCCCGCCACAGTCTCCGGAGCCCCCATAACCCATCCATCATACGGAGTACAGGAGTTCCCTTGGCATCCAAGTCTCTAGCACTGTCGTCCCGCGCTCTGACGCGTTGTCCGGAGATCGCCGTGCAAAGAGTCAAAAGACAATCACACGTGTTTATGACTCGTCCGGTGCCGGCGCCCCTGACTCTTCTCTTTATATTATCATCATCATTATCTTCGTCTTTCCTGTTTTTTACTCCTTTACACAACCTCGACTTCCTTCTTCTTCTTCTTCTTCTTCTTCTTCTTCTTTTTTTCTTTTTCCTTCTCCCAACGCCAGTCCGTTTCCCGAGCCGACACGCGGCCGAGCCTCGCAGCTGAAATACTGAATTCAGCACGCTGGCTGTGTATTTCCTTCAGCTGAGACTCAAAAGCGCTGCCGCTCCACAGCCTGGCGCTACAGTGCGCCTGTTTACTATACGCGATTACTACCACCTACTTCGTTACTTTTGCCCCTCCGAGCTCAGCTTGACTAATTCTGGACCCGCCACCAAACCAACTCCCGATCCCGATAAGAAAGACTCCCTACCGTCTCCTTTATCATCCATCTTGCCTCTCCTCTCCTTGACTCAAAACATCAACCATCCCCTCACACAACCTGGAATATCTGCTGTTGCACACAAACAAGATATTTTGTTGTTCTCACCTTCGCGCTGGCGCTCCCCATCAAAGACCAGCACACCGACAAGCATCTCACAGCGGCGGCGCGCACCACGTCGCCACCCAAGATCCAGTCGCACAAATCCATCACCACCACCACCATGTCGCCCAAAGAGGAACCAACATGCTACCTCGTCCCGAACCTCCGTGCGCTGGACACCTCTGCGCGCGAGGTCGACCTCAACTCGTACGCATGGGTACAACCCATTGTGATCGACGACGAAGACTTGACGTTTGGTGGCAAATCATTGAGCGCGTGGTATGAGGAAGACCGACGACGACTGAGCAGCGGAAGCGACGATGGAAGAGCCGAGCACAGCCAGGATGAAGAGAGACGAGGGCGGGAGCGCGTAAGGAGGCATTACAAGGGCTCCAAGCACCACCGACAGTGAAGCCTTCGCGCGAACCGCCTTGCACAGTGCTGCACTCTTTTCCCTCCAGACAGGTTGGGCCGCCAGGAGCCAGCACGTCTCCGTTACACAGCTACAAGCCCACCGGGGCTGACTTCTACATTATCGCATCACCGCATCAAGACGATAGAATTTTTATACCCCTTACAACTCACGACGAACACACGACAGCAAACTCTGACCCTTCTGAACACAAGAGACATGTTATTTTTGTACGGGACAGGGGAGAATGCGCACTCACTTGGAGGTTTGGGAACCTCTGGTTCAAATTACTTTTTGACTTTTTTGCATGTACATGGCATTATGGCTCAGGATACAAATTTGTCACATATGATGCATGGGCAGCGCACGGCATGTCGACACTGAATGGCAGGAATACCATGGGTTTTTTATTGATTGCATGTTCCCATGTGACTGGTGTCGTGAGGATTTTCACCCCTAGACCGTAGGAAACCCCTGGACCGCACGAGACAGACAGCATCCTGTATGAGAGTGAGCCAGCCAGCCGTGGACGCGCAGGCCACCTTACTCACCCCCACCACAGACACGCACCAGCCGGACGCTTGGGAGGGCCAGAAACGTGGTGGCGGCCGGGTGTCGGGGTCGCCGGGTATTGTGTGCCATTCTTACTCGCCGGGGCGCGTCGGGTGAATGGGAGGGAAGCGTCTTCGCGTTTTGGGTTTTGGGTTTTGGATTTTGGGTTGGAGGGATGGATGGATGGATGGATGGATGGATGGTCCGTTACATGGCTGGTTGGCCGGCCGTGCTTCGGCCTGCGGCTGTATTGTGGGAAAGCCGCATCATGGGCCATGGCGGCCTGTGGTCATTGCGCACAACGTTTCAGAGGATTTGCGTGGCTGGTGCCGTGGCTGGCTGGTGCTCTGGCTTTTGTGTCTCCTTTTGGAGCTTGGAGGCTGACGATGCTGCGGACTGGCAAGGAGGTGGTGTTGAGCCGCATGTTTTTGCTCGACGAGCGCCGCACTGTCGTTCACGGGACACCTTTTCCCAGCGGGCAAGGGCGTCGTCGGAAGGGCATAGAGATGGAGTCGATGCTGACGTTCCATCCATCGATCCAGGAACCGCAATGGGCTTTGATGCTGGGAGATGGAATGGGATTGGGATTGGGATTGGGATTGGGACTGGGTAGCCGAGCCGTGACTTGCGACTACACCAGTCGATGAGTGTCATTCTAGTCTCTGGATCTCCGGTCTCTCGACACATATCTCGACGACGGCCCGGTGACAGGCGGCCTCTACAAGCGCCTGGTAAACAAGCCTTGCGCTTTTGAGAAGTGCTCACCCGGGCAGACACCTAGACAAGCACACTTTGACCACGAGCTCAGACGAGCCGCCTCCCACCGGCTTTGGGCTCGTGAAGCGTCAAGTCTTGCAAGGCCGGTCGACTTGGGATGCGGTCCGCGTCCCCGAGTCGCACTCCTCGGGGCCGTCGAGTGCGTGGTCACGCCGGTCCTGTCCAAACGAGCGGTTGCCATCAACTGCGTGGTTCTACAGCCAGCTGAATCTCTTCATCCTGTCCAAGCCCCGCGTGTGCTGTGTTCCTCCTCACCTCTTGAGCCGGCATGCGTTGGTCAACCACGTCGGCCGCGACATGCGTCACTACCTAGTGCGAGTTGCCTCGACCGTGCTGCCAAGCTCCGAGTCTAAGGCAGACTACTCACTCGCTCCAAGCTGCCGGCAAGAGGCTATTCCTTGGACGCTTGCATCTACCACCAGACTAAACATGGCTACCTTTGCTCGGCGGCAGCGTCCAGCGCCACCGCTGCTCGCGGCTGCGCTCCTAGTAAGCCACGCAGCTACGAGGACACACGATAACCTCTCGACTGACGTGTAGCCGGCGAACCCATGTGTTGCTTCGCCCAGGCCGATGAGATTCGAAGCCGTCGTATAAGAAGGGCACGCCGTCAAACAAGTTGCGCTTCTTGACACACACAATCTCTCTCTCTCCCTCCCACATCATCCTCTCTGCACGCAGAACCCGCCGCTTCCAGTCAGGCTCTCGACCCGCAAACCGCTCTCAGTCGCCGGGCCATCGCTACCAGTCTCCTCCAAGATGCGATTCACAGCCGTCCTCGCAGCCTCCTCCGCCCTCTCGCTGGGCAACGCCGCTCCAGTCGGGGAGACCACCGAGGCCGTTCCCAGCATCCCGCCCCAGGGCGTGCCCGACAGAGGCCATCTGGCGCCCGGCACCTTCGACGTCCCGGTCCAGAGCCCGCTCGTCGCGACAGCTCCCTCCCTCGCCGGCAGCGCCGATGCCCCGGCCGCCGCGGGACAGCAGGTCCAGGCCCCGGGCGCCCTTCTTCGCCGCAGCCCTCTCCTGAGGCCCAGCGTCAAGGCGCAATTCTGCAAGTCTTACTGTCGCATCATACCGTGCCGCGCCTGGTGCCCGAGTCTTGCTTTAAACGACGCCGCGACGTCACCCGGCCCTCGCAAGAAGCCCCTCAAGGTCGCGGCCTTCCCGGACCCTGTCGATGAGTATCACAGGGAACGGTCCAAGGCACTTCACAGGGAACACGGACATTAGAGAGGATGCCGCAAACACCATGGCGCCGGGGCCCCGGCTCCTCGGGGGACGGAGAGTATCTTTCTGCGGCGAGCCTTGCACGGGCGTCATCTCGTCTTCCGCTGTCCCCTACGCCGTCTGGTCTTGCTGTCTTGTGCCGTGTCGAGTTTGGGTGGGCAGAGGATTCGGATCGCCGGTGGTTTGGAGCAAAGGCCTCTGACTGACACGGGCTCAAGGTTTACATAGACGCTGCTCTGCTATGCGATAGTCGCCTCTAGGATAGAAAATGCCATCGCGTGCTTCGAGCAGTCGGGTGTCGTCGTGAACTTGTCCCCGTGTCTGAGCACCCTGACATGCACGGAACCACGTCTGGTGTCGGGCCTCGATCGATGCTGGCACTGCTCTCCGGGTAGGTCCCGGCTTCCCGGCTTGTGCGACGAGGTCCCGCGCTCGACATGACCCCCCCCCCAGCTGCCGACGCCAAGAAGCACGTCCTCATCCCAGCGTCGGGAATCGGGATTCCGACGTCGTCGGTTCAGGACTCAGGATCAAGCCACCGCACGCCTGGGGCCAAGGGCCAGGATCGCGAGAACCGACGCAAACGACGGCGTGCATGTAGAAGGAACAAATCATCATCATCCCCACCACGAAACGAACCTGGTAATGCGTCCTCGTGCCGTATCCGTCTCCCAGGCAGCAGCAGCAACCAAGGCCAGTCCCCAGCCGATCTCGGCCAAAAACGATCGATAAGAGGCCCTCGCTGAAAAGCAGCGTCCAAGGAATCACAACCAAGTCCGCCAGTAGTCAAGCACGTGGACCTCCACCGCCCGCATCACGTGACTCCATCTCAACCACACAAGACCACCTCAACCACCACCGACCGCCCGCCATCATATCATCCCATTCCCATCGCATCGCACCCGCGCGCCATTGCTCTCCCCTCCCCGGCGCAGCATCTGCCACCGTCACCATGCCCGGCGGCCACAAGCCCATCCGCCTGCCGCCCCTCCAGACCCTGCGCGTGCACAACCCCAAGCGGCAGCCGGAAAACCCGTGCATCGCCATAATGTCCAGCGTGCTCGGTACGTCCCCCCCCCCAGCGAAAGAAACAGCAGCCCTTCCGCCGCGCACCGCAGCTGACAGAGGGAACAAAAACCGCAGCGTGCTGGGCTTCCGCGGGGTACAACGCCTCGGGCTGCGCCGCCGTCGAGAGCCAGCTCCGGAAATGTATGGACGGGCCGGCACCGCCTCCCGCGCCAGCAAACACCGTCAATTACCACCTCTCGAGGATGCAGAAGCACGTCACGAGTCCGAGGAAGCGCAGGTGAATCGTAATGACGGGCCGTACGTCGACGCAAGAAGAAAAAAGGTTGGTGTTGGAGGGTGCGGAGACAGGGGGGCCAGGACGGGCGACGTGGTTGGGACATTTTCGGTATATATACCGTACGTGTCTGGTCTCACGGAAACTTGGCATTGACGGGCGTTCTTCATCGGCATTTTCTTGGTGATGCCTCCTCTGTCTGCATGGGGCAGCCAACGGGCCATTGACGGCCAGTGTAGGATATGCGTGACTTCGACATGACGGCTGTACAGAGACCGCGGGGACGAGCGTGCTATTTGCAATATCCATGACGAATTCATTCACATCGAATTTGCTAAATCGCTCATCAGAACAGCCAAGTGCCTGACTAAGTATCTATGTAACTTGAGGCTGAGAAGCCTCCTCACTCCCTGCAATTCCAGATCTACTATGCACGACCCCAAGCTGTCCCAGCTCCCCGTGCCACCGTCTTTCTATCCAGCTTTGCAGCCGCCAATAACAAGGAAAACCCCGCTCAATTTCCACAGAGCGCCAATAGAAAAGGGAGAAAAAAGGGGTCGAGGGTGAGCACAAGGCGGAAAGAAATGACAGGGAAATGCAATCCCAAACGAGTGTGTGGCCATGTTGATATATCCGACCAAAATAGAGACGAGGGAGAAAAAAAGAAAAGAAAAAAAAAAAAAGAGGGAAACCCAGGATACGCCCAGCCTCCAATGTCCGGCTCCGCGAACCTCCGTGTGGCGCCTACTAATCATGTCCATAAACGTTGCCCAAAAGATGACAGACAATATGATGCTATGCTACAGCCTTGCGGTAATGTCGCTACAGAATGCACATCCAATGAATGGACCGAGTCCCAGTACAGGCCAGGCCATCTCAAGGCAACAAACTCTGCTGCCCGGCCAAGGTGAAGAGACGCACTGCTGAGAAACAGGCTGCGGCAGTCTAAACAATATAAAAAATATAATTAAAAAAAAAGGGGGGGGGGATGAAAAGATTCAGAATAGTGTCCAACATCCACGGGCAAACTCCCGGTCGAGTGCGAGACTCTGCAAACATACGGGTCGCCGCAATCCCACGTCCATGTCATGGATATGTGCCGTAAAATGTGGGTGAGGGCCGAACAGGCCGGAAATGTCTGTATTTGTTGGCATCGTCCGGACCTTGAGAGGGGATCCAAGTGCCAAGGACGCAAATGCCGACATGTGCTTTGAACACGCCAACCTGCGATGAATGTCGTGGGTAAATGCAGCCAGTAGTAACTTCGTAAGAGGCCCACGAGGATGCCAAAAACCAAATGGTCATGTAGCAGCCTCATTGGCCTTCTCCGACGCAGAAGAGCTCTATCTCTCCAACACCACCGGAATACATGTTTCGAACCCCCTCACGCCACTCCATAAAGGCAATCTGAATGTCGTCGTCGCTTTCAATGGTGACAAAGTCGCCGTCTTCATCACGATACCGGAGCTTGAGCATGCCCTTGCCAATGCTGCTCGTCATGAAACGGGCGAGTTTAGCATCAATCCTATCAATCAAGGATTGATAGGTTATGTTGAATGCAACCACAAGCGTCACATAGTTTCCGCTGTCACAGTTGACTCTGACCTTCAACTGCGTGGGCATGGGCAAATCTGGGCTGGGCACCGGCATGTTGGTCGGAGGGAGCGTCCCCGTACCGAGTGACGGAGACACGTTGCGGGAGTTGGCACTGACGGGGTCGACCCGCAGCCCGTTGATGCCCGTGGGTGTGTTTCCGCGTGGGTAGGCCTGTTGCGGAGGGAAATGGCACATGGCACCCCCGAGGCTGCCTGAGTGCTGGTGCATCCGCTCACGTTGGGCTCCGGGGCTCTGTGTGCTGGTTCGGATGGGTAAGTCGTTGCGAGGCGAGCCTGTCTGTGATCGAGCGACGTTGCCGTCATGGACTGGGTGCAAATGCTGAGGGATGCCGGGTACCGCTGGAATATTGCTCTGGCTCGGTTGCCGCTGTCGAGGGATACCTGAAACGTTCACATCTGGCGTGCTGTAGGACCTACTTCTCTGTTGCTGAGCGGCAGTTTGACTGTGGGTGGCCATTGCAGGCAGAGACGGTCCGCGGGCGCTTCTGCTTCCCATGCCCGTTGGATTGGGGGAGGCGCCATCTCGCGACGGAGCCCGTGGCATGGAGGCAGCGTAGCGCGGGTCGTCCCAGACGGCCTGTGGTGTGCCAGCCTTGGGAGGAAACTGATAAGCAGGCCCGGGGAAGATGCCGCTCGTTGTGCTGGTGCGAGACGAAGCTGGAGACTCGGCAACCGGGGAAAAGTAGCTGTCCCCTCCCCTGGAACCGGGAGACTGGGCGCCATTGCTTTGGGTCTGTAGGCTAAGGGGAGCGGGCGGCATAGGCAGTGGAAAACGCGGCGGCGGAGCTCTTGCGAGTCCTGCAAGGGATTGGGTGCTCTCCCCCGTGGCAGAGCGTTGTCTCAGACTGGAACTGGAAGCGGTGCGAGGCACGGCGTTGCCCATCGACGAAGGCATTGGGAACTGTGCCGGCGCCGTTGCCGGCCCATAGTCTTCGTCCTCTTCCTCGTCTTGCTGCAGATAGGGGTTCTCAAGGCCGCCAGCTTGGTCTCGGGTCCAAGCAAAATCATTGTTGGTGGATTCTTGGCTGGTGGAGAGCCGCGGCGCATTTTGCTTCCTTTGCGACTCTAGTCCCCCCGCCCATTTCCTCATTGTCTCCTCATTAAGGAACTTGATCGTGAAATTCTCGACACCAGGGTCACCCTTCCACCAAATCTGAACGCTGTGAGAGCCTATGAGAGTGGTTAGCAGAAATCGCACTCCGGACGTCCCTTGGGTAGTCCTGTCACCTACCCGGTTTTGAAAGGGATACGATGTCAGTCACATTAGTCATGAAAATCCTGCCCTTTAACTGCAGCTTTGCGTTCCTACTCCTAAGTTTGGGGCCCGTTGATCGCGTCTTGTCCTTCTTGCCGGAGGCCTCCTTGCAACACAACAGAATGCACTCGAACAGGTAAATTTCGTACTGTATTTTTAAAAAAGAAAAGAGTCAGTTTCGCCTGATACCTACATGGAATGGGGTCAACACGTACGTCCTTCTCTTGATCGCTCTTTCCAGTAATGACACCATACACACCGTGCAGGAGTAGCTTGCCGAATGATTCCACCTTATGAGACTTCCAATCGTCTACTCGAGTGATGAGTTCCTCCAGGGCTTCATCAAGAAGATCGCGGTTCACGGCTTCGTTGGCTTTGAGTAGGACCCGTTCTGCAGCGTCGCATCCGGCGTTGAGATCGTCCTTGACCTCCTCATCCTCCGACTTTTTGGCGAGGTCTTTGAGCAACAAGGGATATTTCACTAACCGCTGCATCGGCTTTAGTAGAAACCCGTCCAATGTGTTGAAGTCGGTGGCGACAGGGTGCTCTGATTGTTGGATCTTCTCGAAGACTTGATTCGCGATCTGGGCAGCCTTGCGCTGATTGGCAATAAAGGGCTGGTAGATGTCAAAGGCGTCTTCGTAGAAACAAAACGGGGCGCCCCATCGCTGGACGGCCTTGGGCAAGGAGTTTGTGGTCTCGACTCGAATGAGGAATCGTCGCTGAAAATCAAGAATCGCGTTGATGTTGAGAAAGATTTGATGCACAACATCTCCTGGAATGAGTCCCTTTTGTTCCAAAGTCTTTTTCAGATCGTGCAGGTTTTCCAAGTCCTGGACGTATTTTCGCTCAGTATCAACCAACTCCTTGACAATGTGGTCCCTGTAGCTCATTTGCGAGCCTCCAGTTGCGACGGCGGGCTCCTCGTCGGGAAACGCTTGAAGCTGCAGCAGTAGGCCACGTTGCTCTGCCAGATCAAGCACGTAGTTGACGACCTGCGTGACCTTGACAAAACCGCTAGTGTCGTTTCCCATCAAGTCCGTAATGACAAAACTCTGGGCCGGGGGGACTTGCAATTCCTTCATGCACGCTTGTACAAACTTGAAAATGGCAATCTTGGATTTCTTCGCTTCCGAGGCATTCGGGTCCTCCACCTTGAGTGGTTCCGTGGGCTGCAGGGAGTTGTAGATTGAAAGGAGGGGGTAGCCAGAGCGAAACAGATTCCACAGGGGGTCGACAGGATCGGTAGGGTCGAGCTGCTCGAGGAACGGTCCAAAATCGGGCACTTGACGTAATCGTTGTTTGAGCGACACACAGATCTGGTAGAGCGATCGCGAGGCATCCGCCTTCTGATTGATGATGTTGGCCGTGGCCACGACAGGTCCGCCATTGTGCCCTGGAACTATCGTTGCCGCACTGCCCAGTGAGCTCAGCGACGTTGATGAAGTTGTGTACGCCGTCGAACCCGACAGCTGGCTGCCGCGGGACACGCTGCTCATGTTGTTGTGTGGAAGTACGCCGACGCCGCTCTGGTTGGGGTGGAAGACCGGAGCGGTGTTATTTCGAAGCAGAGGGGCATGGGCCATGTCCATTCACTCCATGCGTCCAGGGAAAATGAGAGCCCCAAGGGAGCGGGCGGGTCAGGCGATGGCGCGAACAATGAAGGGGCACAAATGTTTGTCGTCGAGATGCAGGAGTGAGGGGTCAATCGTCGTGGCGGCGGGAGTGCAGGGCGTGTGGGAAAGATGACCGTGTATGTTCGCTCGTCAACGAGGGGCGTTGCCTTTGTTTGTCAGGCCGGCCTCCTTTCGGCACGGAGACGGAGTGGTCTCAGATTTGTGCGCTTGGTCGCGTCATTCAACAAACAATTGTCGGGCGAGACGATTCGCGAGCAGACGGGGAATGCAGCTGTCCGTCGCCTGGTAGGGAGCAGAGCAGTTGTCGGACAGGGCAGAACCGGGGGAGACGGCGTGTGGGTAGGAGTTAGGTGTAGGTGGTTTTTTTTTCTTCTTTCCCTTCTCCCCTTTCCCAGGCCTCCTCCTTGGTTGCCCCAGACCAACGAAAGGTGGTGGTTGGTACTTAGCAGTAAAGGCAGAGGCAGACGGGTCGGGTTTAGAGGGGAAGTCGACCTCCTATCTCACTCGGCTCGAGTCGTGACTCGTCACGGAACGGCTCGCCGCGGCCAGCAACGAGGCGGCAGTTATCGTCGAACGGGTGAGTCCCGACAAGTCGAGCCAACAATGACGAGGAGCAGGCAGGCGGCAGGCACCGTCGATTCGGGGGCGAGCTGAGAGATGCTGCAGGCGACGATGCCGAGGGCCAGAGGCAGGCGTCGACCGGTCGGGGCAGTTGACGAATGGTCTGGTGAGTTGGGGGCAGACAGGTCAGTTAAGGCGCCCGGGGCGGTCGAGGCCGAGGCAGGCCGGGTGGGTGGATGACCGTGGCCCGTGGCCTGCCCAGCGTCTGTCTGCCTGCGGGCAAAGCAACGCCCGGCACTGGGGGATTGGGGGATTGGCAATTTAGCACGTCAGGGGGACAGGGGATCAGGAAATCAGGGGATCAGGGCTGGCGCCCATTTGCCCGCACTGTTCAGAGGCTCAGCGGCTCAGTGGCGACAGTCCGTGTGGCTCGACTCGAGGTGGGCCGTGTGGGTCCGTGGGATCGAGACTGTCAGTGAACTGACTAGTCGCACTACTAATCGTGCCCGCCCCACTTTATGTGGTTCGGCTAGCAAAAGCCCTCACCACCAAAGGTGGTGCTCGACAGCAAGGCGGGCCGGACACCAAGGCGGACCAATTTTCAACCTAGACGCGTTGAACCGCGAAAATGGCTGCAACTAGCGTCCAAACGGCAAAAAGCGATGTCGAATTACGTGTCAACGAGGCTCTTGAGTATATTGAGGAAAATCCAGGTGCAAAAATTCGCTCTGTGGCGAAGAAATTCAACGTGCCTCGTAGCCGGCTTCAACGACGTGCTAACGGCGTTCCTGCTAGGAAAGGCCATCCAGCAAGAAATACAATGCTTTCACGAGAAGAGGAAGTTGCTTTATGTAACTATATCGATCGCCTTGATAAGGCCAACTTCGCTGTACGACCTGAATTCATTACAGATGCTGCAAATTACATCCTAAAAGAGAGGGCATCGTCAACTGCCCCGCCTAGGCAAGTTGGAACGCGATGGACTACACGCTTTATCCAGCGGCATCACTATCATAAAGGTCTTCAAAAAAAGATTGATTCAAGTCGAAAAGCTTCAGAAGATGTGACAAGAGCTCTTTCTTATTACAACAAGCTTAAAGAGGCTATTCAGCAGTACGGAGTCCCTCCTGAAGATATCTGGAATATGGATGAGACTGGCTTTCGTATTGGAATGGGAAAGGACCATTTAGTTGTTACAAAGCGAAGAAGAGCGCATCTATTTTCAATGCCAGAAAACAGGGAGACTGCAACAGCAATAGAATGCATTTCTGCTGGCGGCAAAGTTATTCCTGCCTTTCTTATCCTTACAGGGCAAAAACACATGGAGTCCTGGTATCGGATAAAGGAGCTTGAAGCTAATACCAAAATAACAGTCTCACCAACCGGCTTTACGAATGACGAAATTGCAGTTGCTTGGATACAGCATTTTCAGGAATTTGCAACGCCAATAGGCAGATATCGCCTTTTAATCCTAGATGGCCACGGATCACACCATACAATTGAATTCGTTGAATACTGCGAACAGCACGATATAATTCCCTTTGCGTTGCCCTCGCACCTTACACACATCCTTCAACCTCTTGATGTTGTGATATTTCAGCCACTAAAGCATTATCATGCAAAGGCGTTGGATATCATTGTTCGAGACGGCGTGTTGAATATTACAAAGATTGAATTCCTTGCTTGCATTCAAGCTGTACGAAAACAAGCTTTCAAGACTACTACTATTCTCACAGCCTTTCGAAAAACTGGAATTTCACCCTACAATCCACAGCCTGTAATTGAGGCCCTTGAACAACGAGCTGCAATTTACACATCAACACCATCGCCGCCGCCGTTATATCACAACAACTCTTCCGACTTTGAGACGCCCACAACACTCAGGCAGATAAATAAGGTTGCCAACAAGCTAGGGGAGGTATTAGAAGACGATACATCCCTTGAGCCTGAGTTTGCACGCAATATCAGTCGTTTTATCCGCGGCTCTCTTATTGCAGCTACTGAGCTTATACAGACGAAGAGAGACCTCGGGTGGCCGAGTCTGAGTCTCTTTTCCAAGACCTCCAAGACGGCCGGAGCGAGGCGGGAGCGAGGCGGGTGAGGGGCTGTCCTCGACTCCTCGTTGACGAGTTCGAGGATACTCCAGAGGCTTGCCGGCCGCCGTAGGCCCAAGTGGCAGCGATGGCCACGGCAACGCCGGTGCCTGCGTGTGACGGAAGTGAGGCAGAATGAGTCTGGTGTCTGGTGTCTGGTGTCTGGTGTCTGGTGTCCAGACGCAGGCGCATGTGCTCCGTGAGGAGCACTGCTACAGCAGCCATCACACACAAGACGAAAGAGAAACAGCGCTTGGGGGCGCCCGGCCAGCGTCTACGGCGTGCTAGTTAGTACGTGCCTGGCGCCGCGGGGGCCCCCGGCATGGTCATTGGCTGTCTAAAGTTGTTATCAGGCCCCCTGGTCCGGGATGCAGGGAGAGCGAGCGAGCGACGGGAACCAGTAGGCATTCGGAGAAAAGGCGCTGGGAGCTTGAGCCCCGACGCATGAACCGGTGCACGGCGGCTGCAAGCGACGTGGCGGTCCAGACAAGCAAATGGCAAATCGAGTCTGGTGTGTTTGTGTGCGTTGCCGGCTTCGAGGCGCCGAACGTCGAGCGTGAGCGTGAGCGTGAGCGTCGAGCGTGAGCGTCGAGCGTGTGGGTGGGTGCAGCCAAAATGGTCCGCAGTCGGCAGGCAGCCCGCCCGTTGGCAGCCCGTTGGCGGTCCGCTGGTGCAGGAGCAGGGGGAGCAGAGGAGCAGGGGAGCACGGTAGCAACAGCCGGAGCCCTCGAAGCCACGTCGGAGGGGGAAAACGTTGCCGTCCGTGACACACGTACAACTCTAGAAGGCTTCATATATTATATCATTACTTTTAGTCCTGGCTGCTTGAGCAGCGAGCAGACGAGACGAGGCGTACCGAGTGGACGATGCTACACCAGGCCCGCGTCTAGTCTCGAGTGCTCTTGTCCAGTATGTCATGTATGCCGCCGTCGAGACTCCACGTATCGCCGTCGCCGCCAACTAGTGCAAATACGTGCATATGATGCACCAAGCGACCTGTTTAATTCATTCGGCTTCTCGGTCCCCATGACGATCCGGACCGGGGACCTCTTTGGTCCAGTCTCGCGTGCGTTGGAGTCGTCCGTATCTGTTCAATCTTGTTCTGAGTCAAATCGATTCACTGCCGCGCGCTGCACTGCCTGGGACAGCTGGTTTGGCCCCCTGCTGTTCCTGCACCGGCATCAGGTCTTGGAATGGCCAGCTCGACGTTGGGTTCCCAAGGTTGGGCCGCTCCGATACGATGCTACAATACAATTACAAATTAGCCCTAGGTGCTTGGTTTCGGTTTCTCCGGTCGCCGTCATGGTCAGCAGGTGATAACACCGTTGAATCCAGAATGGATATCAGCTATACGCCGTGGGATTCTGCGTCAGCCAGTTTTGCATGCGCACCAGACCTCATCCTCGTCCTCATCCTCAATATGCCACACTCGGCGCTTTGTCGATCGCATCTGCCCCCAATACGCCATACTCCGTACAGTATGCATGTACACGGCGGATGGGGTCCCTTGACGTTGGGCCAACGTGGCCAATGGTGGGTGCTAGTCAGGGTATCACTCTGCGCGCCCAAACCAGATGCCATTCAACCAATCGTCAAAAGTCGGGGGTGGCCAGTTGAAACCCTCGAGTCAACAAGGTCACCATGTGATACCTTTGATCCATGATAGGCTGTTTGTTCAACCTCCGTACCTATTCAGGTCATCAGGTCGACGCCAGGGGAAAAGAAAGGAAAAAAGGGGCTGTCACTCCTTGGAGTGGCGTCTTTGTTTCAGAAAAAAAAAAAAAAAGCCACAGGGTTCGCTGAGGGCAGCCGTTTGGTGTTTCGCGAACGTCATGTGCGTGAAGGGGGCACGCAGGGACGACATATCCCCCCATCTCGATTCTCGCTCGACCTTTGTTTGACAGGAGGTTGTGTTGAATGTTCTTCCTTGTTCCCATTTCAGGCAGAAACGTGAAGCCTGGATGACGGGTTCTGACAGCAGCAACCGCCTGGGATAAAATGCGCGTTGGTGCGTGGATCAGCTGACTTGGTGAAGCAAGTCTAACAACTGATGCGTTTCCGGGACGATTTGGAGGGAGTTCTCGTATTGCGTGCCGACTACCCAGGTATCCTTATGAACGAAGCCAAAGATACGCCTCGCAATCTTGCTGTCCTGTCCTGCTGGTGGGGGGAGAGCGGAGAGGGGAGAGTGGAAGGAAGGTTTTGGGAACCTTGCAAGCGCAAATCCGCGCCAAGACAGACGAGTCCCGACACTTATTATTATTAGCCTTGCCAACCTTCACGCCATGCCCTCGAGGAAACGCAATCACGGATTCTCCTCTCCCACCAGATGCTCAGCGTCTCGAACAAAGGCGGGCAGGCAGGCCAGGCTCCGCAACTCGCTCTTCGAAGCAGCCAAGCAGCCACTCCACCAACCACCTCGCATGGAAGGATGCCTGCACGCGATGCATGACCATTATGCATGGCAATCTGCATGTTTACACAGTCCTTGTCTATGCAGAAACGCATGGTATGTGCGACCAGAGATCTGAGGTAACCAGTATGCATCGTATCGTCGTCCATTGTGTCAGGCAAGCCTATTAGACAGGAGAAGACGCTACCCTGCAGCAATCACGAAGAAACCCAAGCATATAATATGTTATCCATTCTGCCGATTCAGATGACGCTTAAAATTACGGCCTGCCGAGCAGCAGTTTTGGCAAACAGAGGCTTAGGAGCCATCATTCGCCGCGCCAGGAACTTGCCGGTGTCGCTGCTGTTGCGCCTGGCCTGCGAACACGGATTTCATTTCACAGCGGCATGACGATTGACGGACAAGGACACCGTTGGCCAAGGGACTGTCATCAACAACCCAACTCGAGGGCCAGAGCTGTGCGCAATTATATGGACGGGAGTTGTGAGAAGACGGCGTGCGAAGCTGCATGTTGCAGTGCCGATGCGTGTTGTAGACGGACCAGCCCGAGCCCAAAGGACATACGGCGTACATGCATGATGACCATGACCGGCACAACGTGTTTGATTTCAAATTTGGCGATACCTTGGCCTCGTATTTGCAAGGCTGCGTTGCGTTGCATCGTCTATCGGGCTTGGTTCCTCATCTGCATCTATGCCTGAGCGGCCACGCCAACTGATGATCAATGAAAGTCTCCCGAGATGAATGGAGAGAGGCGAAGGAGCGTCGTGTTCTCTCGCCCCACGGCGCAAGATGTCTGCCCAACTCTGGGGAAGGACTCAGAAAGGCCGATAACAAGGGGTCAAAGTTGGCATTGCCTGCCTTGACATGAGTACCGGGTACACGATGCATTTGCGAGCGCGATTTAAGGAGTGTTTCTCAAGCGGTCTACGCAAGCATCTGGCAGGCATGCCTGCTTAAGGATGTTTGAGTCGCACCATGCGGTAATCGTGCCCGAACCACATAAAGTGGGGCGGGCACGATTAGTATCCCGGGCCGCCTCGATCCTCCAGCTCGACACATTCCAGCCGGCGCTTGTTTGGCAGGAAGTGACTATAAATTCCGCGGATGAGGGTTAAAGCGAATATGGTTTCAAACAACACGTACTCCGTACTCTGTACCGCGTACCCTTGCGCCCAAGCGGTGCAGGAAAAGAGGAAAGACTTTGGTTGACTGCAGTACTTCAGTACTTGACTCGTTGGCGAGCCGTTATAAACTTGTTGTTGATCAGTCTTTATTACCCAAGTCTCGGTAAGCATGCGGGACGAGGGTACGTGTAACTCCGTACTCCGAGAAGAGAAGCTCTCCAGTGGCATGTGGCTGCTTGAGCAAAGTCGCATCACACTCCATAATGAAGCATATTGTCAGACACTTGACTTGGCAAGTACCTGTAGGTACTTGCCCTGCCGCCCTTCCACCAGCGCGCCTGTGGAGCTCGCCGCACTAGAAGCTGCTAAGACTGCCAGCACTGGGGGCCTGATGGCCGCTAATCACCCGGCTCCTCATGCGCTGGCTTCGAACGTCCGCACGGAGCATGTACACGTTTGGTCTCAAGTGCCGGTACCACCAGCCACCAGCCACCAGCCATCAGCCACCAGCCACCCACCACCCACCACCGCGAAGCATTCCGCCGCACGCCGGCCGCAATTCACCGTCCACCGTCGCCGTCACTGTCACCGTCATCGTCACCCGCTGCCCTTGTCCTTGCTGACCACGTCCCCTTTACGCGCCTTCGATATTGAGTCTTTTGGTTCATTGTTCAATTGATTGCTGCTGCTGCTACCTCAGCCTACTGCTGCCGCTGCTGCCCTGGGCGCCACATGTCAGCTGGCCATTAGTAGTACGCCCTGCTCCGTATCAGCTCGCCTGTGGACGTGCATCGTGAGTCGCGACTCGCGACAACAAACACCACAAGGCCATCTCCGCCATCAACGTTTCACGAAAGCGCCCATCTCACCGACATCGACGGGTCGCCCGTGTACCCACGCTGATAGTCCGCAGTCGTTAGCGCCTCGACACCGTTTTCGTGCCACGCCGCCGCTTCACTGGCGCGTGGTGTTTGCGCCTGCTTCATGACCAAGGCTCGGGTCAGCCAAAAAACCGACGGTCAATCTACGGCCTATCCCATCGATACTGCATCCCGACAACCCGGCAGTGGCCTAGCGAATCAATAAATCTCACCGCCTGCTGCATCGTCTCTCACCGCTGCAACCTTCATTCACATCGGATTCCCCTGCTACGTCGTCTTCTCGGCTTTCCGCCTTGTCCGTCCCCTGGCTTCCAGCCTGATGGCGAAGCCCGACCAACCGCCGCCCATGGATCCGTTTTCGCCGGCACATCAACCCGATGAGGGCTATTCCGAGGACCCCCTGAATCCTACTGTTCACCATGGTCTGCCGGCCAGTTTAGCGACATTGCGGTCCCCGGCAGAGCTGCCATCGTGGCTGGCAAGCAATGCTTCGGCGCTGCCAGTGTCTGTCAAGAAGGGTAATTTGCGCAAGCGAACCCGGACCTTACCAGGCCGCCATACGTATTTTCCCTTCCATCGGGCTGAGCGCTGTTACTGACTGTTAATGTTGTTCTTCTTCGCGCAGACTTGACACTCGCACTTCTCGATCATCTTCCCACGTCAGCCATTGCCGAAATCGTCCAGCGATTGAATCCCCGGCTGTACATTGATTTCGTCCAATATCTTCCAGCCGAAATTTGTCTCAAAGTATTGGGGTATCTGGATCCCATTTCACTAGTCGGCGTCTCCCAAACATGTCGCGCCTGGTACGAATTGGCGTTGGATCGGAAACTGTGGGAGAGGCTATATCACCTTGAGGGTTGGAAGGCGGTGCCGAACGACATTGAATTATGCGAAGGGAAAGTCAACGCCGGTCTAACGAGCTCTATTGGTCACTTGCATCGCATCCAGAATGCGGATGGCCAGACTAACAAGATTCGTGCCATACTGAATGAAGACGAGGACCAGGAAATGACAGGGACCGCTCGAAGCCAGAACATCGTCCAAGAACCAATGGGCATCGCGAGCAGCAGCATTTTTGGGACTCCAGGCTCATCATTTGTCTCCAATCGGCTCGTCGTGTCACCCACAGGCGGAGATGTCGACATGGATATCAGGTTTGCCTCAAACTCGTCGGCTTACAAGGGGAAAGGAGTAGATCGGAGTTTTGGCTCGTCAGACGTTGTCCGCGTGAAGCGAAAGGAGCCGGGTGGGACGCCAGAACCCTCTTTACCTCCTATCTTGCCGAAAGATCACCCAAGCGCTTCAATACGATCAACGCTGTGGGCCTGGGATATCAATAGCTCGAGGTATCGCATTAACTGGAAATATCTTTACAACATGCGACGACGACTCGAGTCCAACTGGGAACTTGGCAAGTACACGACTTTTCAGCTGCCACATCCCCATCACCCTGAAGAGGGACATCAAGAATGCGTTTATACGCTCCAGTTCGACGCAGACTATTTAGTGAGCGGCAGCAGAGATCAGACGATGCGTGTTTGGAACGTGCGAACACGCCGACTAGTTCGACCACCGCTAGTCGGACACAATGGTTCGGTCTTGTGTCTCCAGTTTGACGCTGACCCCTCCGAGGATATCATTGTTTCGGGCAGCAGCGACTCAAATGTCTTCATCTGGAAATTCTCAACTGGCGAGCTTATCCAACAAATTACCAAGGCGCATCGCGAGTCAGTTTTGAATGTTCGCTTCGACAAGCGGATTCTTGTCACGTCATCAAAAGACAAGACAATCAAAATCTTTAACAGGAGACCTCTGCGCTTTGGAGACCTAGGATATGGCTCAAGCGAGTTGGCATTCAGTGCCGTCGGGAAGACTATCAAGCCATACGGCTATGAACCGGATTTGGCCCAGGAGCTACCTGTTAAGGAACCGTACACCATGATTGGCCGTCTGGAAGGACATGGTGCCGCCGTCAATGCCATTCAGGTCAGAGGTCGCACCATTGTGTCTGTGTCCGGAGACAGACACATCAAGGTTTGGGATTGGCCAGACCAGGTGTGCACACAAACCATTCCCGCCCACGATAAAGGCATTGCCTGCGTCGAGTTTGATGGACGACGAATCGTCAGTGGCAGCAGTGACTATGAGGTCTGCATTTTCGACGCGCCCACCGGTTTGAAGGTTGCGCAGTTACGTGGCCACGCACACTTGGTCAGAACTGTTCAGGCTGGCTTTGGTGATCTGCCATACAGCCAGGTTGAAGATGAGGCAGAAGCCAAAACTGTGGATGCCGAGTACTTCAAAGCTGTTGAGGCTGGAGAAGTGGCCCGTGACGGCGAAAGACGGAATCGAAGGACAAGGCGAGTGAACGCAGGAAGCTCTAGGCCAGCCGATGTGCAGGCGTTCGGGGCCAAGGTGCCACCTGGAGGAGGCGGCGGTCGAAAGTATGGACGGATTGTTTCTGGCTCATACGATCAAAGCATTATTATCTGGAGACGGGACAAGGAGGGTGTCTGGAAACCGGCTCATCATCTTCGCCAGGAAGAGGCGGCAGCTGCAGCGCAAAGAAATACGGCCCTGGCGATACCACCACAATCCATTCTACAACCGACTTTTCCAAGTCAAGCACAGGCGAGCCTCCCAATGCACCCATCTGCCGTGCCCCCAACCATGCCCATTCCTGCCTCTAGCAGCAGACCTCCGGCCCCGGATGACGTGAGCCAGACCAGCGTTGATCCCAAAGTCCAGGGGAACTCGAGACTCTACATGAACTTGATTGACCAAGTCGTCCCCCTCGGTGCCCGAGCATTGGAGCAGACATTGGCCAACTATCCAACCATGCTTGGCCACCACAACTACCTGCAGTCCGTCATTGAGCGCGAGCCGTCACCACTGGTCCGCACACAGCTTCGACAGGCCATCACAGCCGCGTTAGTCTCCTTTCAAACCGGGCAACAATCGACAAGACAACGCCCAGCCAGCACCTTGAATCCAGCCTTAACAGCGCCGCCTGCTGCCGCTGGTCCTGCTGTTGCGGGCCCCAGCAATCTCCCCGGAACGTCGGCAGCATACCAGCCTGCAGATATCTCTACCCCCAGACCAACACAGGCCATCGCTATACCGTCTCTGGCTGCGACACTCGCTGCTCCGGATGTGTTCATGGCAACGGGTGCTACGCCGATGCCAATTCCTCTGCCGACCCCTACGCCTGCACCAGCTCAGCCAGCTCAAGCACCCGCGCAACACGGTGCACCTCCGCCGGCGCATCATCACCCGCACATTACCGGGGCAGAAAACGCACCAGCTCGTGTATTCAAGCTCCAGTTCGACGCTCGAAAGATTGTGTGCTGTAGCCAAGCGCCGGTCATTGTGGGCTGGGACTTTTGTAACGGAGATAGCGAGCTCGAGGAGACTGCTCGTTTCTTTGCTACTGTGGATTAGACTACCCCATATCGTTTTACTGCCTGCATGAAGGGGCCGATTGCTGCTTTGTGCCCAACTTTTATGAAGAAATGAAAAACCTGTGGGCGCAAATAAGGGATTTTTCTGGTTTGTATCTCGGGAAGAAGGCGTTTGCACATATCGAGGCGCACACTGAGGCCTAGACCTAAGTTTATGGGATCGTGGTAGGTGACAACAACGGTAGGATTTCTTAATTAAACATTGAGTACTAAGAAGTCATATTCCGCTACGCAAATATGTGGGCATGAGTGATGTGACCTGCAGGGAAGTGCTATGGTAGTGACCGGAGCTACATTACCCAAAGCAAACTTGCGCAAATCAACGCCTGCTGCTGATGGTATTCGGATTTGGGAATATGCAGCACTTGTCATGTAGACGCCTAACCGGCGGCCTCCTTCATCTTATCCTCCGTCTGCGGAGGCTCATCCACAAACTCGGGCACTACCTCGTCCTGTAAGAACCCAGGCACCGTGCCCCCCAACTCCATTTCCAACTCTTGTTCCATCCCCAAAGCCTCCAACTCCGCATCCAGCTCCGACTCATCCACCTCATCTGGAATGTCATAGCTTCTTGCCAGACTCTCCTGAATTTCGTTCCCGACGTCCATCAAATCCGCCATCTCATCCTGCAGCTGCTCGATCTTGTCAATGTCAATCTTGCCATATTGCTTCTGCAGCTCCTTCTTGGTCGTCTTCATCGCGTCGACTTGCGTCATGACGTTTTTTAAATTATCCTGCATGCTGGATGCCTGCTCCATGTTCCATACCTGGCCCTCGAGCTTTTCCTTCTCCGCCTCGTAGGCTTTGCGACGCTGAAGGACCTTGAGGGCTCTTTGCTTGATCGCTTGCTTGCCGGGACCCTCGCGCAATTTGGACAGCTTCTCCTGGTAGGCGGATAGTTCACCGTTGAGGGCTTTTAGTTTCGTATCGATGGAGGCGATGCGCGTGTCGATGTTGGTTATGGCGCCGGAGAGGGTGGGCTTTGGACCAGACGGTTTGGAGCCGAAGATTCGGTTCATACTGGCTGGCAGATGGGTGGCAGATGGATGGCAGATGGGAAGCAGTTCAATATTACGAGCGGACGATGGGAGAGTTTGAGTTTTGGCGGAGGCTCTCTTGAAGTGTCTAACCGTGGGCTGCATGCAGGTTAGTGGTGCAAGAATGTCGCAGCCAAATGGGCTGTGTCGAGCGGGATGACGCATCCTTGTCCCGGACTCCCAGCGTCAGAAGGGCGGATGAGTCAGCAGAAAGAGACTCACCCACTTTGCGAATCACATCGGGGTCGCTAAATATGCTTTTTTTCACAAGCGACGAGATCATGCCATCCCTGGAAGCTTATTTTGAAGCTCTTGGAACGATGGCATGTGATGACGATGTCATGGCTGATCCAGCCTCCCCTCGCGTAACGATGCCATTTACGCGACTCACTGTCGCTTACCGACAGGCGCGTGAACGGATTTTGTCGACAGAATCCACTAATTTCCAGCCCGGGACTAGCGCCCTCTGATGCTTAACGATGCTCCTTGGGCTCGTGTAAACAAATGTTGATGAACCTACGAGGGGGACACCTTTTGTTCCATCGTCACCAATTACTGCTACGAACAATTCAGAGCAATTTTCAGATTCACACTGCACTTGCACTTTTTTTTGATGCTTCTAGCACGAAATCTTTGCTACCACTGCTACGACGCTGTTTGCAAAACGATTTCACCAATCTGCAACGCGCTTGCCCCGTCCAGCCGGGAGCTTTTCACTTACTGCAATCGCGTTCCAAACAAACGATTCCGTAGGCCGACCTCATGGACGCGCCTACTCCCCAAACCTGGGGACTTGGGCTCAAGCCCAGTATCAGGTAAGTGCATCCTCCCGATGGAGCACCTGCAAATTCGTTTCATGACCTCGGGAAACTAACATGACGCGTCTCGCAGCTTGAACTTGCCCCCATCCTCCATCGTCTTCTTCCCGGCACGCGACAACGGCACTTCATCTGATGGAAAGAACCAAACCAGCTCTTGCCACCCAAATCCGTATGAAAGCTTCACATCAGATCACAAGACTGAATGACTTCGTTTGGCGGCTGAACTTGCTGACTGTTGATGGCATTTGTAGGTCTTGGGTCGGCGTCTTACGAGCACCAATTCCAGTCCAAAGAGAACCAGCATGGCATCGCATTCCTACCGAATACTTCCCTTCAAAGAACCCCAATCTTTCTCGTATTATCATGAGAAGAATTGGTCACCCACAGCCACGTCCTTATGGAACCAGCTTTTTCGTGTCTGGGAGCTCGGAAATTGCTGCCGCCAAGCGCATTGCCGCCTGGACAGAGCCGACAAGATGCAAGATGCCGCCGAGCAAGTCTCGCAAACGCAACTCATTCAAACCCACTGAATTCCTCATCGAAATCCGTGGCGGACCTGACTCTTGGGCTATGGTTACTTATATGTTCATGAAAGCTAAAGGTACGTCTCCTAGCAAGATTCTCGTTCACGTTTGTGTTAACTTGTCTTGCCATGCAGTGGATATTGCCAATGGACTTTTGGAGCTTGACACAAAACTTCTCCACAGGGAGGTCGGCCTTCTGCAGACAAAGAACCATGGTTTAACTATTCCTGCAAAGCGACGCATCGCTAGAAACGATTGCATCGAGCCACACGGTCTCTGGGGCGGATGGAAGCTGTTGACGTACACTGAAGTTCTTCATCTCGTTCGCAAAGCCACAAACAGGGGCCGCAAGAGAATTACGTTTACGGAGGGTTCCATTACGGATGTAGCCCTCCTTTTCAAGGAGATGGGCTGCTACGACCCCCGAGTCCGAGTTTCCGCATATGGCAGACCAAGCTTGCCGGATATTGCAGATAAGACTGAGCCTCTGAGCGTGCTTGAGCTTGCTAGTTTCCAGGATGAGTCTGGCAAATCGCCAACCAAGAAGTCACCGCTTCCTGCTGAACCTCTCAAGGCCTCTCCTCGTCATTTGAACGATGGTGTCGTCAAGCTATTGCCTGCAACTAGCCTCCAAGTGGCTTCTTCTCCTGTCAAATCTCTTGGGTCGCCTTCCACAGCTTTTATTGATTCGCCTTCTTCAATCAAGGTGGCCCAGAGTCCTTCACCACTGGCTCGTGTCACCGCTCATGGCGCATCCTCTTCACCACTTGCTGATATTCCTTGTTTCTCTCCTGGTCCGACGAAGCACTTCTGTGCACCCTCGTTTGACTCTTCCTGTGACTTGGACCGGACCGTGAATCTGTCCCTGCCACCTCAGCTATCACTGACCAAGGTCTCGCCATCGATCGCGCAGACAACTCCAAGGGTGTCCAAGTCGGAACCTTCAACTCCTCCTTTTCAGATTGCTACTCCACAGTCGAATGGCGGACCTGGCCTGGGCCTAGTTGAATCCATTCCGACATCGACGCCCAAGCTTGATGGACCCTCTACGCACCCAATTTCGTCTGTTGATCCAACTCGACTCAAGTTTGGGCCCTCCTCTCCCACTTTCAAAGCCCCTACGTGGCTCAGCAGCACTATTACTAGTAGAGCAAAGGAGACCACGAAAAAGATCACTCGACGCAAGAGTGAACCTGTCATTCGCAGCCACGTCAGAAGCCAGGTTGCCCGTCGACAGACAATCTCGCCTCGCAGATATGACTTTACGAGCGAAGGCGTCTTCGACACAGCCACTACTGCACAACCAGCACCTACCTTGTTGCAGCACCAAGCTGCCGCTGGTGACGATAAGCCTACTCTTACGGGCTGGGGTCGAACTCCAGAAAAACCGGCTTCCTCGGAGGCTACTCTGACTTCAATGACACCGGCCATTTCTTGGGGCAAAATGACAGGTCGCAGGTCTGGCGATGGTGTCCAGAGCACACCCGCTCACCGCAGAGTCATGCACATGGACGGCTTGCACAACATTGATGTGTGCCAGAATCCCGATATTTTCGGAGCTCCTGCTGCTCATTCTGTTTCAAGTCCTCCTGCAATCAATCGCTTAGCCGAGATTGCTGTCGACCACTGTGATGGCCAGGCTAAGGTCATGGTCAGTGAAGAGAACGGCAGGCTCATTGTTAGGTTTAAGCTGCCTACCGAGTATGCACACCTATTCCCTTACAACCAGGGCATGGACGAATCTCGTTTCACCAGTACCCCATCAGCCATGTCTTCATCACCAAGAATTAGCTTTGAAAAGGTCAATGAGCTTGCCTTGACAAATGGTCAAGAATCACCTCAAATTGAGCAAGTCATCTTGCCCTCGTCGATTCAAAATGAAGACATCACCTTGATTATTCCCGACTTCGTCACTTCTCCTGTGTTGACTGTCGAGGAGAAGCAGGCTCCCGCTATTACGACTCCTTCACCCGAGACAAAATTGAGTGCTTCATTCACACCAGTTAATCGATCTGTTTCCCAGGTCAAAGAAGCCTCACAGACGTCGCCCGCCTCTGCTCCTCAAGAGCTCAAGCTCACTGAAGCTGACAGCTCAACTCAGCATGGCAATCAGCCTGCTCAGCGAAATCCTTGCGAAGACAGCCCGGGACGCGATTATATGAGAGACTTTATCAAGCGAACTCATCAGCAGCGCCTCTCCACCACAGAAACTGGGTCGCCGGTTGCGCCACCAGTGAGACGTGCACCACTGGGAATTAAGAGTCCCAATGTCGAAAGCCCCCAGAAGGGCAAGCGCAAGGCAGAGGCTGAGAATCAAGATTCCTATTCCTACTCTACGCTGAAGACGTCTGTTGCCCCCTTCCCTAAGAAGGCTCGACGAGTCAGCAATCCTGGCCCAGGGAAGAAACAACCAGCCCAAAAGTGCAAAGCCACAGCGGTTGGAAGCGAAAACAATGACTCGACTGAAAAACCTCCTTCGACTACAAATGGTGGCGGAACCACTGAAAACCATCATGAGGAGAAAGAGGCAGAAGGAACTGGCACAGGTACTCGCAGATCTACTAGATTGCGAGGACAGCAGCCTGTCTCTGCCGCCAAATCATCTATCCCAACCTCCATTAATTTGCGTGGTCGACACAACGGCAGCCATGTTGCATTGAACCACACTCGAAGTGAAGAAAAAGAACTATCCAACAAGACTCGAAGGAACACTCTCAAGAATAGGGGCAATGCAGAGTATCCCGCGCAGGTCTTGGCCAGGTATCAGGAGGCGAGACCTCATGAGGAGGCCACCGAGGAAAATCGTGATCCTGAAGCGCCAGCAAAAGGAGCTAATGGCCGCAAGTGTGTTGGATGGAAAACTCCTCTCGAAGCACACCATGGCAAAGATGCCAGGAAGTCACGCATCGCCACCATGAAAGGCAAGAATGTCGCAAGTTCAGGTGGCAGCGGGATCGCAAAGCCCACCCAAACCACGACCACACAGAAAAAACAGCGCGCCGCCAAGGTCGCAGCAACTCTGGGAATGTCTCAGAACGGAACCCCAGCAAAGTCAAATAGAATTACACGATCATCCACTCGAGTTCGAGCATGAGCAATTGCATGATTATGATGAATTGGGAAAGGAATGAGGCGTTTTTGATTTTTGATTGTTTGTTTTCTTCTTCTTTTCTTCTTCTGTATCACATTTTGTTTCTCCTTCTGTGTATCGTTATGTTTTCTTCTTTTCTTCTTCTTTGTTTTATTGTGTTTTCTTCTTCTCATGTGCATCATTATGTTTTCTTCTTCTGTGTCTCATTGTGTTTTCTTCTTCTTCTGTGTATCATTATGTTTACTTTCTTTGCTTTTGTTTCTGTCTTATTGTTGAGCCGGCATGACAGCATTTCGCCTCTTACAGATATGGTTATGATTGCATACAGGCATTGCGGCGGCGTTGAGCTGGATGGAATGGAGAAGTTGAGCATTTTTATCATTGCGTCAAGGAAAGATACCATTATTAGTTTGTTGTTTGGAAAGCATGGCGAATGGCGATCACTCGTTTTTTGGAAGATTGTTACAGGAACAAACATGGCAGTTGGCCTCTGCATATATTTTTTCTCATGGCGCTCGCTCGTTTTTCTTGTATATTCACACTTGGATAGGCAGAACAAGCAAGGCAATTGCCCTCTGTACAAAACCTGTGTCATTGATGTGCTTGCGACTCCTCCATGTTGACTTCGGCCACGACCGACAATTGGCTTGTCCAGACGGGACGGTCAACTCAAGCAGACGGCGCTGTGTGCTCTGCAGCCTGCGATAGTCGTTGACGAGATGTCTAGGTGCGAGACTACAGTCGGGGCCTTGCCGAAGCCTACATTGGAGAGCTGTATGCAAACAAGCAAATGTGGCATCCATCCGATTTGTCCGGTTGTTTGTTTTGGGGTCAAAACGGAGCACGTAGCCAAGACTCTTGCAATCATGAAACACGTCATGGGACCTCCTCGTCTTGTCGGACATGATGGAAAACCCCGACATTCCCCAGCTCCTTTCGCCAGCAACTGTCGTGCTCAACATGTACTCAGGAGCCACAGAGACATTGCATGACTGGGCAGCGCGAGCCGAGTCGGAGGGAACCACAACAACATGACGAAACCACAAGGCCTGGACGCGAAGCTGAAGGCGCGAATCGCGCCGGGCCGCGGCAAGATATCGGGCCATCGCCGCTTTGCCCCTTGGCGGATTCTTCTGGGCGTACGTACTATCCTACGTACGACCCCGAAATAGGCGGTCCCGGAGTATGCGCGCAGGCACATGGAGACGAGTCCCCCCTAGGAGGCCACTTCCCATCTGCCCGAGCTCAGGCTGTTCACGATTCTATCATGGGACCGGATTCGCAGGGCGGGCTGCAGATCTTCAACCGCCAAGGCCGGTGATCAATGGCCCGTCTGTTCCTCGTACATTCATGGTGAACATTGGTGACTTGATGCGGGGAATCACCAGCGACCAGTACGTGAGCACGGTGCACCGCGTGAGGAAGCCGGGTGGCAGAGAGAGGCTGAGCATTCCGCCCCTTTGGGGGGTTCGGCCTCCAGGAGCGGTGTGGAGTTTTGGAGAGTTGCCTGGGCCAAGGGGAAGAGAGGAAGGATGAGGATATTAGCACGCGGGAGTACGTTGATGGTAGGTCGAGGCAGCTGATGGTCTGGGGGAATGAGACGGACGGGGAGAAGAGCGGATGATGGACGGCCGGCTGTGTTGGCATCTTGCTAGGGATGAGGCGAGCTGAGGGTGGCCTTGACGGCTTCGTTTCAGTGCAGCTAAGTGTGCGAGGATCACGGACGCGGCTTGCAGGAGAGTACATGTACATGTTGTTTCCGAGATGTTCCTTTTCTGTACGGCATAAAATTGGGCACATGTCGATAATTGACTGTCAAGCCTTACAGTGTTGTCCCAGAGCTTCGTGGCTTTCGTAAACACGGAGAATACAAGCAACCCTTTGCGACTCGTTACATGACTTCAAACTTTTCTTCCATGTCCACGTCGTCTGTCGGTCGCGAGCTTGCCATTGCCGCCCATCCTTGGCGAACGGGGACGTGCGACGTCTTCTTGACCGGTTCAGCTCTCGGCCGCTGCGCAGGCGTTGACGCCGGTTCCGGATTTACCCCTTCGTCTTCTGCCTGCGCCTCGTCGTCTTCGTCTTCGTCGTCGTCGCCGTCGCCGTCGCCGTACTCCTCTCCATCGCCGTCATCATCGCCCTCGTCACTAGAGCCTCCGGATCCTTCGCTGTCCCCTTCACTACCAGGGTCGTAATCCTCCTCGTCTTCGTCTTCGTCGTTTTGTAGCTGCTGTTCAGCCTCGAATTGGGCCTTCTCCAGTTCGGTGCCGCCTTCAGCATCACCACCCTCACCTTCGCCCGAGCCCTTCTTTGGGCCCCTGTTTTCAGCAAGCTGAAGCCTAGCCTTTCTCTGCTCCGCCATGCTCCTATCTTGCAACCGGTTGCGCGCCACGTAATCGCTAATACCTCGGTAATCTTGTTGATCCAACATGCCGAACTCCAGTTCCTCGTTTGGTTCACCCTCCCCAGAGAAAATCTCCACCACCATGTTGAAAGTAATCTGCAGGATTTGGGTGTAACTGATCGCAGCAATGCGGTTGAGAGGAATAAAGATCAAGGGCTTCTTGAACCCCCACAGGATTCCGGTGTCAAGAAAGAACAGATACCCATCCTTGGAGCCGCGGAAGCCACTCACATGCACCGCCCTTTCGTTCGGTCGATGGGGCTGGCGAACGACGCTGTGAAATTTGCTGGGATCGGCCGCGACGAGATCTCGGGCGTTCCCGGCGGCTCGCAACCGCCTCTCAAATGCCCAGTGGAAGAGCGACTCGTACGTGTCCGATACCGCGGCAGCAGATGGCGCTTCGGTGCCGCCGACGGTACCCTCCTTGGGCGCGGTAGCAGGAACTGTGAAGACCAGCGGCTCGACGGTCGGGGGACTGTCCTTGGACGGCAGGCATGTTCCCCGTGGGAAGAGGACGTAGTTGTGCTGTATTTGCGCCTTTTCTGGCACCGGCAAATAGAAGAGGTACTCTGCAAAAGGTCAGGAGCTTGGAAACTTGTATCCCAGTGGCGGTCGATCGAGATGGCTCGCAAACGCGTACCGATGTCCTTCCATGCGTATGTCATGCCTGGAACAGGGGCCGCCGTTCCAGGGGCCCTAGCGTAAACAAAATTCTGGCTGAGGCATATCTCGAGTTTCTTTCTTTGGGGAACCGAGACGGATATTTCCTTGACATGTAGTAGAACGGGCTCGTCAGAAGCGTTCCCGGAGCTTGCTGCTGCCTGTTGCGTGCCATTCGCAGCATCCGTCGCAGGGTCGACTTTCCGCCTCTTGAGGGCGGGCTCGCCATCGTTGTGTAGCATGCCGTAGACGTGGCCGGCGATTTTGTTGAAGAGAGAAATGCGTCCGGGCGAATCTGGAACTGTCGTTAGAGCCTCAGAGAGCGACTCGGCCATTGTTCACGGAGCCTCCTGCTTACCAGCGGCTCGTTCGATCCCCTCGATAATGTCCGGACGCGACTGGAAGATGAGGCCAAGCCTCTGTGAGTCTAGGGCTGTAGCCATGTTGACGGGTTCCATGCTTGCCAATTGACCTGTACCAGCGAAGAAGAACGTGATGGAGAAAGCAATTGACCGAGCGGTTCTGGATTAAAAGATATGCTTGCCACCACGGCTGTGACTGGCGCGGCGACTGAACAAAGCTACATAATCGATGTCGGCGTGGAACTTGTATGATTACATAATAATTTTGGGTTTCTTTTTTGGCCCTTGCCCCGCCGAGGGGTCCGTCGAGACTCGAATGCGTCCATCCATCCGTTGGCAGCAGCCTCATCACCACCATCAAAGAACGACAAGCCTGCCGCAGGGTGTCGTCCCTTGCCCTGGGACAGAGACTTCATTCGGGAGCAGAGACGTCCGTCGGCGGAGCCATGTCAGCTCCGTTCCCCAATCTTTACACGCATAGAAAGGTCGCCGGAGGGGCAGCCAGACCCTGTGACGTTTGCTACAAGCCAAGCACTTCCGTTCTCATCACGCCGGACAAGAAGGTAGCTTTCGACATGTTGCGTGCTACGTGCTGTACGGTCGGCGCTAAGAATGGGGTCTAACGTCCATGCAGGACTTTTTCTACGTGTGTCCATCGCACTTGAAGGACACCTACTTCTGCTCTCCGAAGATAGATGAGGGTGCTCTCAAAGCCAGGCGCGAGAGAGAAATAGCCGAGGAAACAGAGAAGTTAAAGAAGGAGTACGAAGAACGTCAGCGCAAGAAGAAAGAAAAGGAGTCAAAAGGTAAAGACAAGGACAAGGAAAAGGACAAGGAAAAGGACAAGGATAAGGACGAGGGCAAGAACGCAGATAAGAGGGAGGATAGCAAAGAAAAGGCTGATAATGAATCAGCAAAAAATGTATGCACATGACAAGACTGTTGCTTACAACATCTGACCTGCCGCCAGTCCCAGGACGAGCCATCTAGCACACCAAACGAAGAGCCTCGCGTCTTTGAGCTCAAGAGGTTCGACTGACTCCCTCCTTCAAACATCTACCGCGCTAATCATGTCAGCGCCTTTTACCAACAACGGCTCCAAAGAAAACGACAGGCTGAAGCAGCAAAGAGAGACCGAGAGCGTGTCTCCCAGCCTGGATATTTCCCATCTGTCCCATCTGCTCCACCCGCCAAATAACCATACATTTCATCCTTTTGCATTCCGGAACACATCTCGGGTCACAGCTTGATCATGCAGAAGCCAAAATGCTTGCCATGAGGCATTGAGTGAGTATACTGCGCCAAAAAAAATACACCGAGCTTGATTGTGCGGATTCGTACCAACTCCCAAGCTTATGCCTGTGAATGAATCACACATACGAAGTTTCTTCTCAGTCCACGACTAGTGAATGCTTAAAAGAACAGAATGCTTCTGCGCAAGTCAATTCATACACCGAGTAATCGTGGTATAAAACGCCCTTGCATTCCTCTGCATCCAACAATCTCTTGTACGCTACGTATCTGCTACGCATCTTGTAGACGATGAAGCGAGTGCTCAGAGAAACGCTCATATCTATTTACTGTCTACACTCACATAGTGGGACCGAGTTGTAAGCGTTACGTGCCCTCTTGCAAAGACAAAACAGGTCGAGGAGGGAGCTGTAATGCGACGAAAGGATAAGCTGAAAGACGAGCTACGGAAGACCTCTCCCGAGGGCGGTGCAGAGGAGCCTCGCGACACGCCAGAAGAAACCTTGAACGAAAAAGGGCGACAGCCCCAAGCTCAACAATGCGAAAGCAAGGCCCACTAGATCAGGAGATCCAGAACAGCGGCTTGCTGCAATTCATCAGCAGCCTAGATCTCCAAGTTTCTGAACCCTTGAATCATGGCCTCGAGCGAGCCGCGTCCGTCACAATGTCGAAACGCTGGGGCGACCCTCATGAAGGAGCCAAAACACGGCAACATGGCCTTTGATATCTTCTTTACGGTCGAGAATGCGGCGGGGCTTGACGTCGCCAGATGCCTGCCGCCAACCGCAACGAAGAGAGATACACCAGGCCAAAACGCCAGCGCAAAAGCTCACCGTCGCCGACCGCGGCGTCGTACAGACCAGCGTGGTGTCCCTCCTGGGTCGCTTGGCCTTTTTGTTCTTCTTTGAATCAAGGCAATGCCATTGATTGACTTGGCAAACTTCGTGGCGGCGGACTGGAGATGGCCGTGCATGGACAGCGTGGGTTGAGCGTCCAAGTTGACAAGGCTAGAAGCGGCAATCGAGAGGAGAGCGTCATTACCAGCGGAACCCAACCGCCCAAGCATGAAGCCGTGTGCCGTATAGCCGTGGGGGTTGGCCGACTCGTGCTCCCAGCTATATTGGATATTTCAGTCCAAGGCCCGCGGCAAAGCTCCTCTGTATGGACCCGGCGCACCGACTACAGGCATGTCAGGCCGTGTCTTGGGCTGTGCGAAGTGGCGATGAGCGCATTGCACATGTGTCTTGTCTTCCAGCGGAAACGTTTTGGGGAGGGGCGTGTGCGTGGTGAGGCCGGACAAGATACGTGGACGGCATGGACCCTCAACGATGGTGTCATGGGTAGCAACGCAGCGATGACACAGGAGGTGGGAAGCTGAAATGAGTCCATGGAGCACGGCGAGCCGGGGAGGGGAGGACGCGCATATTAAGCGGCTTCACCATCAACAGCGCTTGCGTCGTACGCTCGGGGGGCGGGGGCGTCACTCATCGTGTCATGACACGGCGGTGGCTGGGCGGTAGGGAAATCCCTCTTCCACTTACTCAGTGTCAGAGCGGGGGGCCCGGCAGCCTGGATGATGGATTCGATGGTGCCCAACGTAAGAAGGATGGATAGGGAGAGGGGGGAGAGAGACAGAGAGAGAGAGACAGAGAGAAAAAGAGAGAGAGAGAGAGTGTGTGATGAGAGACATGGCGCAAGGGGTGCTTTTGCTTACGGCAGTGGACCTCGTCGACCAACGCGCGCGCTTATGCTGCGAGCGAGAAACGGGCAATTTTACGCCTGAGATGGGACTCGCTTGACCGACCTAAACGCTTCACGCAGGAATCCGTTCCGGCAGCGTCATGGCGGTATACGTGCTTACGCCGGCCTCTCTGCTCGCTGGCTGGGAACAAGACTGCCCCACGATTTACTCGTTCCTCTTGACTCGCCAGCGGGGAGGGGACGGACGGAGGGCAAACTGCACTTGTCGTCTGCCAGTCCGCAGTGAGATTTAAGGCACTCCAGCAAGGCTCTGCAAACCCTCGCCCGCGGGGGGGGGGGGGGAGCCGCGTGCCTGCTGACGGGCTGTGGCATGCAGTGCTCCGTATGTACCATGTACGATGTAGGGCCCCATGCAAGGCCTTTCCCGGTCAACTTGCTAGATCTGGGCCCGGATCTCGGCGAGTGGCGTGGCCATGACGGACGAGGATGAGGACCGACAAGGCAGAGGCAGCGCTTGCTGCGACATCACGTAAACGGAGGCGTGCGTGATGCGACTCGGCCACTGTCAGCGCCGCTCCCTTGCGTCAGGATAGGATAGGGACGGCGTCAGCTTGGTAGGCCACACTCGGCACAGAGTGACTCGGATCGTTGTCAGTCATCGAGGAACCCCCAGCCACGACCCTGCAACGTCACGCACGGCAACCTAGCCATCTCATCTTCCTTCCCCTCGGCGGAGGGGGGAGAGGGGGCCGAAACGTGGCACCGACTGCCTTGATGGATGGATGTTCAGGACAGCCGGAAGGGGCCGTCGAGGATGCAACGGCCACGACAACAACTGGCATGACTCAATCTCATGGCCTCTGAAGCATGCCAAGAAGTTGGCCGTCAATGTACCTCGGCCGCGTGACCGAATCATGCACCACGCGACTCGTCCACCCGGTACGGAGTACTCCATATGAAAAAAAAAGGGGGGGGAGGGGGGAGGCCCTTACAAGCCGCTTTCTTGTGCTACCGGCCCGGGTCATGGTGAGGTTGTCCGCCGCCAGGTGCCAAGTACATGCTGGCAATGTTGGTGTATACTATATTATATAGTGCATCCCGGGATACACACGCACATACATGGACATGGATACATGGGCCTGTCCAGTTTGCCCAAACTCGTCGACACAGTCACTCTTCGCAGCACAAGCGGTGAGAGCCGGGAAAAGGTATCCCTCAACGACAGCCAGGATCAAACAGGCGACGGGCCACGGCGCGCCGAGGGTGTAAACATGTATATTTTTTGCTTTCTCTTTTTTAAAGAAACTCCACGGCCTGACCGACCCTGACCCAATCCCCGAGTCAGCGTCCGCGCCGCGACAAGCGCCCGGTCCCCAGTCGTGGTCGTGCTTGCCGAAAACGTCCTCCGCCTCGCCCGGCATGACACGGCCGGGGACTCGCATTCACCACGTATCGGAAAGACAAGGCGTGATGTTGCGTGTGCCGTGCCGATCCGTCACAACTCAAGTGGGGCCGTCGGTGCCGGCCTCGGGCACGGCGTCCGGTGACGGCACACGGGGCCTCGACGGACCTCTTGAAACGGTTTTCCCCCACGGACATTGCAGGTTTGTGACCACGGCACTGTCGTGCAGTCACGACGTCTCCAACTTGGTCCGCCATGGTCTGCAAGCCCGGGCGTCGAGGACCTAGACGGAAAAAAAGAGCAGAATGCAAGTCTCTCGTGCCCTCGAGAAAAGAGCTCGAGATGCTGCTCAAAGTCGGAAAATCGGCCCCAGAGGAGGTTGTTGGCCCCTGTTCTGGCGGCGCCGTCGTAGCCTTCACCTCGGCCAGCCTTAAAGGCCGTCTTGAAACCGCCGTGAGACGCAGACCGGGAGAAGAGCCGGGGCGAAACAAAAGGCCGCGCAGAGATGATGTACGTGGGAACAGGTATACTCGGTACAGCAAAGACAAAGGCCGAGACCATTGGACGCATCGGGCGAGTCATGGCGGCGCAGAAAGGCGGAACCTCGTGGTGCTCTCGGCTTCTCCCAACCGCATTTCGTCGTTGTCAGCGCCCAAAGAGGTCGCGCCGACGCGGCATCCAACGTCTTTGACTATTGATGATTGCGCCGTGTGTCTGATGCCGCTGCATCAAATAGCTGCGTGACATGTGTTCTCTACCAACTTGTGATTTATTCCTTTTTTTTTTTTTACAAGTTGCCGCCACCCCTCCCTGGCCCGGGAGGCATTCGAATGCCCATGTTTCTCCCAACCTCGCTCAGCCTTGGGTCTTGCCCTTGGCCCACGGCCCCACGACTCCTCCTCACCTCCTCGTCGACTCTCGCTCTCTGCAGAGACAGGCCCGGCGTGACCCATCCGCCGCAGGCACACCTGATGCCCTTCCAGTCGTAGCGTCCGACGGCAGCGCCGCACCGTTCGTTGGGGCAGCTCAGTCGGCCGTTGAGCTGGCCCTTTTCCAGCTCTCGCCGCATCCAGCTCAGTGGCTCGACAAAGTAGTGCGGGCACGCCTGCCGGGGGCCAACCGTCGCCGACGACCCGGCGGCGACGTGCTCGTTGATAAAGGGCGCCGTGGCAAGTGTCCTTCTGCACTTTTTGCATCGCAGCGCCAGCCCCGTGGCTTGCCCCCCTCCTCCTGTGCCGGCGGCAGCAGCTCGAGAGGCCGCAGCCGGGGGCTCCTCGTCCTCGAACCGCAGTCGGCTGGGAGCCTGGCCGACAGCGACGTGTTCCTCGACCTCGCGCTTGTACGCCCACCGCTGGTACAGAGGACGCGCCTCCACGTCGTCCGGGCAGCCCATCTCCCACCAGAGTGCCAGCTGCCGCATGAAGCCGTCGTTGGGCTCTGCCATCGGTCGCGTCCGTCGGACGAGCGCCAGCGCCAGCTCGACTGCCTCGCGAGCCGTCTCCTTGCGCGACCTGATGCCGCCCGCGCTCTGGTCGCAAGAATGCGCCGCCGGACCGCCGGCGTCCTTCCCGCCGCCCAAGTCGCCATACGCCGAGGCCGGCACGACGTTGGCGTCGAACCGGTCCGGATACCGCCAGAGCAAGTACGCCATCACAATCGACACGGAGCGAGACTTGCCCGCGGCGCAGTGCACAAAGACACCGCCCGCTCGGGACATGCTCTCAGCCGCGGGCGCGCCGTCGGCAGTGGATGCCCTCAGCCTCTCCAGTCCTTCCTCCACGATGCCGCTCTCCCCGCTCCCGTCTCGTACCGTGTCACCTCGGCTCTCGGCCTGGTCCGAAGGTGAGCGCCCATTCTTGTTTGCCGGCCCCCTCAATCCGTCGTCAATGAATCTGACTGCTCTGGGCAGTTCAACGAGCAGATTTGACTCATCCACGTCGTCTATGTCGATGAGCAGGTGGCGAAACTGCTTGCCGTACTCGGACCACGGCTCGTCTTTGAAGTTTTTCAGGCTGTCCGGGCTGAAGCCCACCACTGACAGGACATGCGTTATGCCCTTTTCCGTGAGACTATCCGAGCGGCGAAGAGCCCAAATCCTGCAAGTAATAAGTTGGCAACTTGCTGGCTTGGCGGTGGGAGGTTCCCGCGGCCGACTACCCGGCGCGTGGTGTACACGGAATGACGTAAGAAGCGCACGTACCCGCCTACGTAGAGGTTGTCCCGGCCGTCAATCCGACTGAGGGCCATTTCGGCAATGCTCCTTTTCAGCCTGTGCAATTCTTGGTCGTCGAGCTGGTGGCCGAAAGCATCCCCCCATTGGCGGAGCGGCTCACGGTCGTCAAGGGGATCCAGCTCGTCGGCGTCCCCTACTGGCTCTGGGACGCAGGACAGATGATGTCCCCGGTGGAATGTGCTCGTCGGCGTTGTGACGCAAGGCAAGTCGGATCGATGTGCCTTGATGGAAATTTTTCAGCAAAGTGATGATGATGGCGGTGCGTGTGGGGTTGGGGGGGGGGGGGGTCTAGTCCCAGTTCCGAGAAACGGTGGTTTTGATACCAAGGGAGAAAAGAGGAGGAAGAAGAAGAACAGACATGTTTCTCCCGTAACGTGATGTAATTGAGCGTCGGCTAGTCCAGCACGTCGCCTACTCCGCGCCAGGTGATGAACTTGGTCGCACCTGCCGCGCTCCGCCACAGCCTGTCCAGTCCCCACGGCCGCACGGCCACACCAGACACACACCAGCCACGGCCGCCGCGCCGTTGGTACCTCTCCGTACGGGGGCGCACCCAGCCTTACGGGGCGTGGCGTCTCATCCGTCCCATCACATCACATTGCACGGGGTACCGAGTTACCGAGTACACACGCGGAGTAAGGCCATGTCGTCGTCCAATCCAATCTCACCGACAGACCCAACCCCGCCGAACCAACACAAACAGGCCAGGCTACTTTACTTGCACCCACCCGCACCGCACGGCCGTCTCCCACTGGCATTCCTGCCCGGCAACTTGTCCGCTGCCTCTTGCTCGTCTTCATCCGGGCCATTTCTCCGCTGCTCCGCCGCCCGCCGCTCGGCGATTTCCTCACCGCGCACAGCCCAGCCAGAAAGGCCCAGGCCCCGGTGGCGCCACAGTCCCCCTCCCCTTCAGCTGAACGGCCAAACCACAGCCAACCCAACCCGCCCTCACCACCCTGCGACGCGAAGCCGTATCCGCGTGCGTGGTGGCGCCCTCCCAGACAACCTCCCAGGCAAGACAGCACGGCCGAGCGTCTGCGCACTCCGACACGACATGTGCATGTCGATACAGGCTCAGCCAACCAAACCCAGCCGCCCCCCCTTGGACTCGGCGGCGCGTGCGCGCTCCACACAACACAAACCACTTGCAAAGAATACTTCAAGTACCCAGGCAAGCAAGCAAGCACGCAAGTATACTTTTCTTTCGGTAAATACGTACGTAGTTGGAAGCCCAGCCTCGGTCCGCCCCAAAATCTTCCTCGTACTCGTCGTGCTGGACCCAAAGGGTTCATCCCGAGTCCAGTCCAATCAAGCCCTACTCCGTGCAAGGCGAAAACTGTATAACCGAGCAAATCAGTTACTTCCAAACTACCGAGTACCTCGCGCTCCTTACCGAGTTGCGACCAATAGTCAAGTTATTGATTGGTAAAAGAAAGACATGGCAGCGCTCGCAGGGCCCGACATGGCCCTACAAAGACTACTCTCTCGTGCACACACCTGCATCCTGCATACATACGAGCTGTCGCCAATGCGTACCGAGTACACGTGTCCAGGCCAAAAGCCATCAGTCACCATTAGTATTGCCCTTCATCCGGAGCGACCGTGCCGGCCCGTTTCGCCCGCCTGGGTATATCTGTGCCATGGACAAACAACAAAAACCCAACAAAGGACACCACCAGTTCATGCCCGACACCATCTTGCTCGCTGGCCTGTTCCACGCCGTGGCTGCGTCAGCAACACCCTTTGCCCTGGTGCCATGCGCAGACAGGGATCAGCGGCTTCAGCCCTCCCAAAACTGCAAGCCACACGCGCTCAGTTCCGCTGCTGCATGCGAGAAATCACGGGAGTCCTCTGATCCTCTCTCTTGCCACCCATCGCGAACCCCAGTATGTTGTTGGCAATCTCAACCTAGCCAGGCCACAAAGCTGCCCGTGTACAATGACCGACGGACGGGCATGTCCGACGGCAACAGAGGACTACCCAATATCCAGTCCCTCAGACCAATTGAATCTTGGGCCTCGTCGGCATCATGGTTTCAATTTTTCTTCTTCCTCGCCTCTTGCAGGAGTACCTTGTTGGAACCTGCCAAAAAAGTGTTTGAGGCGCTACCACAGTGTCGAGCGACCTGGAACAAAACAATCATCTACTTTGACTTGTCAGACCCTGAAACGGCTCAAGTGTCCAAATCACCATCGCGCACTTTTATTTCACCCCGGACCACAATGGTATTTGCCGTCAAGTCCCCCACCGGAACTCCAAAAACAAAGATACATAAATCAAGCAAATATCGTCGCGTCGTACTAGGTCAGGTAGTGAGCAATGTGGCACAAGACGTATGCGTCATCGCCGCATTCAACCCGTCATGTTTAGCGGCAGCGAGGGCCATTCGTGGTGGTGAACAGTCGTAAGCGTGTACATGGACCAGCACGTCGTTCATCGCGGTGTTGGGTCCTCATCCATCATGCATGCATTCTCTAGCATGTTCGTCCATTTACCGCTAGTTCCCGCATGGCTATGTTTCAGATGCTGCCGGAAATGATCCGCTCTGTAAAATTTCTTCGAAGAGTTGCACTCTCGGAATTTGTGAACTTCTAGTAGATGACGGATGCGATCATCCCAGTCCTGATCCGTGGCCTGCTTGGGGACAACCCCTCTAGAGAAAGCTCCGTTACCAGGGCCTCTACCTGAGCGGGGGAACTCATCGCCGCAATAGCCGCAAGTGTCGGCTTCTCCGGGATGGCTAGTCGACTCATGAAACGCCCGATCATAGCCTGATATTGCTGAACACGACCATGAATGCCGGCGAACATGGAGCGAGTTTTGATGTCGCTCCGCCTCATTCTTGTTCTTGAAACGATTGCCACAAAACGAACATTCGTACTGTTTCTCGGCCTCGTGAGCACTATATGGTCTGTCAGTAGTACACGAGAGAGAGAGGGCACTAAAGACGACAAGAGTAAAAAAGGGGGGGAATAAACGTTGCCCCTGCAGCCACAAGACAAGGTTCATGGTACGTACCTGAGTTCTTCAGCGGTATCAAATTTTTTCGGCTTTTTAGGGCAACAGTCACACATGAAAAGACGCTGAACCTTTGCGCCTGCAGGTTTTTGGATATCTGCTAGCTTCCTGGGGCTTGTTCCACATACGGTGCGTCCATGTACACCCCCCCTGCCAGAGATGGAGTTTCGTGGACTGTGGTTCAGTGAGACAGGCGTCGTGTATGGCGAATTGCAAGATGTCGGAGAGACACCGCCGGGGGACGCAGCACCAGGTGATCGACGGCTGAATGATGTCGTGGTGGTTGCACTCGATGGAGCCATGGACATGGTAGAAATGTAAGAATTTGAACGGGAGACAGCGGAAGACGATAAAGACGACGTTTGTGGCACGAGGGTGAGTCGGGGTGCGGGAGAGCCACGGGATCCAAGGTCTCGTCGGCGAACCTCACTCGAGCCTCCGTGGAGTACAGTTTCCCCTGACGGAGGACTAGCTGCTCTTCGCTTATGGCCAACAGTGGCATACGTTTCGTCCGGGTAAAGCCTCTTGGGCGACGTGGCCCCATCAATCTCCATGTCTTCTGCGCCAGTAAACTCATAGCTCCCGTGACTTGAGGACGCATCGTCACTGTTGTTTCGCCCTGAACGATGTCTTGGTGATTGGTCAAAATCTAATCCATCCTTGGACATGCGGTTGTCCCCGGGAAGGTGTCGAAACGGAGTAGATCGGGGGGAAACGGCAGAGAACATGGGCGCGTCCGTTATTCGGGCTGGTGAGTCCAGTAGCGATCTGGTGTGGATAGGCATTTGTACGGGTATACTCAGGGCCGGAGCTCGAGGGTCAGATTGCCGCCGTACTTGCTCGCTCAAGGCGGAAGATGTTGCCGATCGGGTGGACATGTCAAACGTCCTAGCAGCTATCGGATCCAACTTCTTCTTCATGCTATCACCATGCAAATCAGCGGCAGTTTGAAAGTGAAACTTGCTGCGGTGTAGGAATTCCGTGGGTCGAGGATCCCGAGTACTGTTGACCAAGTCAGTGAGTGTCAAAAGTTATATTTGCGGCCGTCTCTTCCAGCCAATCCTTGCTCGCGACTTGTAGCAGCTACAAACCTTTCTGTTGCAGTGTAGCTCGCGTAGCCCTCGTCACCATTGGCGCTGCTCCCGGTGCCTCTTCTCTTGCAACTTGATCTCTCATCGACAAATGACCCGGACTGCATGCTGCCGTACCCGCTGTGCGCAGATGAACCAAAGTGACTGCAGTCCATCGACTCCTTTTTCGAGTCGTCGGTACTATGAGCCGGGCCCTCCAAAAAGGGAAGATGACGCGGCGGGGGTAGAGGAGGAGGGACGACGTCTTTCTGATCGAGTCTCGGTATGGACATCGCGGAACTTGCGGGAAATGGCACATCGTGGTGAAGGTCGTAGCGTCCGGGGCCAGAGGAAATAATGCTCGGTAGACTGGGCGGTGGCTCCCGGTATCGCGGGGGGAAGGCCATTGCAGTCGAACAAAAATTGTCTCGCTCGACGGCCTCAGACCTGGGTCATGTAGTACCAGCGCGTACGGCTGACAGATGACGGCCGAGAGGCTGGCTGAAGGCCTTTAGCGGGGGGCGAATGGGATATGGAGGGCAAAGCGAGAAGGCAAGCACTGTCATTGATGACCGAAGACGCCCGCCAGGGGCCGTTGCTTGAGTCGTATGTTTGCACTGGCTGAGGGCCAATCTGTGCCTCGGGAGGGAGAGGAGGCTTCGGGATGGAATGGCAGAGGGGAGCTTGTTTGTTTTCGACTGGAAAACCAGGGCTAGCTATCGCGGCAGCAGCGGGACCATCGATCCTTGGTGGAAGCGAAAAAGTAGAATAATTGAAAAGGAAGAATAGAAAACCAGGGTAGAAAAAGGTATGGACAGGAGAAGGAAGAATAAGGAAGCAAACAAGGGACTAAAGCAGAACGCAAGATGAACCGCCGGGAGTGGTGCACGAGGACGCGAGTCCAAGAAAGAAGAAGGCGCGGGTATAAGTGAACGGCGAAGGGACCAGTTGACAACGGATAAGGTTCCCAAGGCCAGTCCACCCGTGGTCGAGGGCTCTGGCTCGGTTTTGTTGCCTCCCGAGTGCGCGAGTGAGCAGGTGGAGGCTTTGCTCTGGGACCTCGTGTGGTGACGACGACCTGGTGAATGGGGGCGTGTTCACGGCGTGGTCGGGAGGGTGTGTTTAGCGTCAATTGATCAGAGGGACCAGGACCATGTAGCTGTGTGAGGTGTGAGATGGAAAGTGGACGGCCGGCAAGGCAAGGCAGGGCAGGCGCTAGGCCGGTGGATAGGCCGGGAAAGAGCACAGGCGGGTAAGTGCCCAGTCCCACGGTACCAACGTACCGGCGTAACAAACCCAGGTAGGGCACATGGATGATGAGTGCTAAGAATCGCGCCAGGAATTACTGCGTGCCTGAGCAACTTGAGTAAGTACTTAGTAGGTAAAGTACCTACCTGCTGCGTACGTGCTTCAGTACTTGGGTACTAAGCAAGTAAGTTAAGTAAGTAGGTTCTCTAGTACTCAAGTAGGCAGGTACCTGCTCAAGTAGGGGGTTTGCCCAAGTGCACGAACAGGGCAGCTGGTGTGACCCCCGGGTACATGCCACCAGCAGACTGCAGACTGACTCGTACCTCTCCGTCACCTCGCTCTGCAGCCTGCAGCTCCAGTAAGTACGTTGCACAGCCATACAACGTTGTAAGTCAAGCAATCCACGCCCCCTCACCTCTCATCCCATCCTGAGGTTCCCAGGGCTGCATCTGCTTTGCACCAAGGATGGATTGACTATCGACATGTTGTACACCCAGGTTCCTATGTGTGGGCAGGTAAGTAGGGGTGCCCAGGTACGTTGAAGGAGGCAGGTCAACGAAGCCTAAGAATCTGCGCCCCCCAGGGGCCAACGACGGTCCAGCGTGCGGCTGCAATACTCGACAAACATCGCCTCATTCGGCTCGCTGCCGTTGCCTATTGGCTTAGATGTCCCCTTGCCATATAATAGTATCCTGCACTGGTTCTCCCATGCCGTTTGCATTGGTGGTTACCGCCGAATCATCGGTACCACTCGACGATTGAATGCGACTAGCTGAATTGGCAGGGTGCTAGCTCAGAGTTTCGGCCTCGTGCCCTTAAAAACGCCGCTCCGCCCACAGACGTAGAGGCCGCGCGTATGTCAGTCATGTCGATTAGCATTGGTGCTGCTCGGCATGTGTAGTCTTTGGGGTCGCAGGCGAGAGCGAGAAGGATCCGAAAGACCGAATAACGAGCGGCTTGCCGCAGGGCAGATCGTAGGCCGCGTGGAATCAAGCGCTGTCGGCGGTGTCGAAAAGAGCAAAAGAGAGGAGGCGTTGGCGGGGAAAGCCGCAGGTATTCCTGCACATATATGGATGGACAGTAACTTAGTAGTCGAGATGCGTGAGAGCCGGAGGGGGGCGCAGAGAGCATCCAGATGAGTATGCACATCTGTAACATGTACATGCATCTCCATCTCTACATATCTGTCCAAGGTCGTCCTGGTTTCAGGGATATGTAGATTGAACAACAGCCTTACCGAGTGCAGCTCGACATATCCGCTCTGGACCGATTCTGACGCATGGTAACATAGTATGGGTTTCTGTGGTCTGGCATTTGTCTGGCACCTCGCACCTCGCGTTCCAAGCGACTGACTGACTACTTGAGCCTAGGCCACCCCAGCCCACATCTGTTTGCGAGATTTTGCGGCGACTTTGCGCCATGGCATCCGTCATTACTCAGTTCACTGATCTGCCACGCGTAACAATGCAAAGAGGAGGCGTTGCTGGCGACGCCCACCACACGCTCCAAGTTCCAACAGGTCGAGGACGCCAACTGGGAAATTGGCCGCTTGGTCGCCGAGTAACAGGACTGAGAGCATGACTACCACTAGTCTACTACTTAGTCCCGAGTTGTCGAGTCTCCTCCGTATATAAGAACGAGTGCCAGGCAGCCCCAGCACCCGAGGGCGAGGGTGCCGAGGGTGCTTTGGAAATGCTTGTGTGCTCGAGTGCACCTCGAACCGTTGCTGGAGCGTCTCTGGTGCACTCCGACCTAGTATTCCCCCTCCTCCGTGTAACAAACAGCTCAATGGCGCCCGGCGGTGGGTAAGACTCCGAGCGTGTGCTGCAGATGAGTCAAGACGCTGCCGTATGACGGGGAAACCCAAACAATAGATGCGTATCAGGCATTCTGCGATGGAGGAATAGGCAGGTTCCTCTAAAAACCTCAAGATGGTCTGCTGCCCGTGACCATGGCCGCCCCCTTCACCCGAGTCAGAATGGCCTGCGCGGCATCTGGGTGGGCAAGTGAGGGTCTCCCTTCTAGAGGACATATTAGATGGAGTGGGAAGTACAGAATGCAAGATAGTACAAACTTAAGTACTTACTGAGACGTCGGTCGAGATGGTCGGTGTAATGTTGCTGAACATTCAAGTCGAGGTCCAACTAGCAACCAGGCCCAACCAGGGCCGTAGAGGAGGGCCAGGTGACGATGAACTGTTGTTGAATTGTTGTTACACTTGCCCCTTGGTCGCTGTCTCTCGTCTTGCTGCGTTTCCAATTGCTTCACTGCGGTGTGAACATGCCAAAAAAACATTGGCCGCGATCAAGTGGACACCCCGTTCCAGACATGAAGCACAAGAAAAAAAAATATAACAAAGAAAAAAGGAAGGAAGGAAAGAAAAAAAGAAAGAAAGGAAAGGATGCCTGGCCAGCTCGAGCCTGCCCTACCTGGCTGCTCCAGTAGCTAGGGCAAAGCAAAGCCGGAACAAGCTGCAAATGTACTTGAGGAAGTAGTACTTTAGGTCCCGGCCACGATATACAGAGGCAGAAGTACCGACAGACGCACCACGGATTTTTGACTACTCCGTACCGCCACCTTGTCGCATCCACGCCAGATTGATGATGGATTCAATCCGCCAGAGCCTGGATCAGCGATCGCCTGATTTCTTTCTTTCTCAGCCCTGGTGGCCCACGTGACACAGGGATCATTCTATGCTTGCCCGCAGGCATTCTCTAGACCGGCCCGTCAATTTGTCTCGTCACTCTTGCTCTTTCTTGCTGTTTCCGTATCGCCGCGCTCACGAGCAACCATCGATCCAGAGTCAAGGGGCTGGCAGAATGGGGGCGAACCGTCGACTGTGGGCATCATTGGCTCCTTCGCAGTCAACCGATAGCCTGGGAACGGGCAAAGATGGACGCTATTGCACTATCAGGTCTGCCCGGCGCGATCTGAGGCGAGCTCGTCATGAACGCCTCACGAGTGGGAGTCACACTACGACCAGTCCCCCCAACACACGCAAACAGGCTCGAATCCCGCCCAAGCACACCTTATTAGGCTCAGTCATGGTATATTGCTGTCCATGCGAAGTATACGCTCCCGAGTCGCCGAGACAGCCTTCCCTGCTCTAGGTGTCAAAGAATGAATGGGTACTCCGTACGTTGTGCTCACGTTCAATTCTGTCCAAATGGAAACGGCGGCTTTTTCGGTCACGCATAAGGATTGAGGCAGAGGCCGTCAGACAACTGCATGCCGTGCAGTGCTACTACTGCTGGGTGAACACCTAGGTAGTGAGATGCCACCGTGGACCGGGAACAAGGAAGCCATCTTGCACAGAGGGCAAGCTCTTCACAGACTCTTTAATGCCATCTCTCTCCCAGACGATTGCCGCCTCAGAAAACGAGTGGCAGATTAATGATTTGTGGCTGGCTGTGTCCCCGAGACGGCAAGTCATCGGGTCCGGGACATGGGCAACCATGTCTTGTTACTTGCGCCACTTCCACTGAAGACAGTGTACGATTCAGCCCTAATAGCTACCGGCCCGGGTTACAAGGTCATGGTTACACGGCGCCTATAATGATGATGCATGGGCTCGGCCGACCAACCAGACCCAGACTGTTGTGTCGGGTGACTCGGGTCAGGCCTCTGTGCGAGGACGACGAGAACTATGTCTTTGTCCGTCATCGCATGAGACAATAAGCCACCCGGGCGATCTATGCAACGACAAATAGACACTCATGCCCGTCACCAAGGCGGGCTAATTTTCAAGACGGCGCCTCTTTGCAAATAATTATCCTAAATTTCTAGTGCATCTATGTTAGGGACTAAGCGCGAAGAAGCGCAATAAATAGTTACTCTTAATTAAATGTAATACTATAGTATAATATAGCTACTAAATTAGCTGCAAATTAGCCTCTAGAGAACTTATATAAATAGAAGAGAGACTTCTACTAGTAGAGAAAGAAAATTTAGAGATTAATTGTTAACAGTAAAAACACAATAAAAAATATATATATAAAAACTAAGAGAACAACTATTATATATAAATTATATATAAAGAGAGATTATATAATATTATATATAAATTTTAATAAAATTTAAGCTTATATTTATTTATATATATAAATTTAGTAGAGAAAGAAATACTAGCTAAAAATATTTAAAAAGAACAAAAAGTAGT